TAGCCTACAAAGAGGAATTAAAGTGGAGGCAAAGAGCCAAAGTTAAATGGCTTAAAGTGGGGGATAAAACTCCAGTTTTTATTTTTTTGACAAAATGGTAAAAGCAAGGAAAAGAGTAAATCAAATTGAGAAACTTGAATGGGGAGGGCAAGTGGGTGAAAACTGGACAGAAATGAAGCACCTTGCCACGAGTTTTTTCTCGGAGTTGTTTAAAGAAAACTGGGCAAGAAGACCCTTTCCAGAAGAGCTTACTTTTGAAAGTCTATCGGTGGTTCAGCAGAGGGAGTTAGAAGCGCCCTTCACAGAAAATGAGATATGGCAGGTAATCAATAATATGGGGACTGGAAAATCCCCAGGGCCGGATGGTTTGACAAATATTTTCTATAAACGGTGCTGGGAGGGGGTGAAAGGGGATCTATTGAAGGTGTTCTATGACTCTCACCAAAATGGATCATTGGTTAGAAGTCTGAACAGCACTTTCATCTCCCTTATTCCTAAGGTGGAAGGTGCAACAAACATGAAAGATTTCAGGCCAATTAGCCTACTAAACAGTTTTTATAAAATTCTATCCAAAGTCCTTGCAGAAAGAATGAAGAAAGTTCTTGGTGTGATCATTGAGGAGAATCAGTTTGCGTTCGTACTGAGTAAGCGGCGTGTTGGTGGCAAATGAGTTGATTGACTCAAGAATAAGAGAAGGTAAACCAGGGCTGATTTGTAAGTTGGATTTGGAAAAGGCATATGATCGTGTAAACTGGAAGTGTTTGGATTTGGTGCTAGAGAAAATGAAGTTTGGACAGAAGTGGAGAAATTGGATTAAGGTGTGTATTTCCTCTCCAAAATTCTCAGTTTTGCTTAATGGGCACTCTATGGGACTTTAAAAGTTCAAGAGGATTAAGACAAGGGGATCCCCTCTCCCCTCTTCTGTTTATATGCATAATGGAAGTTGTAAAGCCAAAGGTGGGGGTTGAGGGTCTATGGAAGGGCTTTGAGGTCTCTCCGGGTGGGGAAAGTGTTCAGATGCTACAGTTCGCTGATGATACTCTGTGTTTCATTGATGCAGATGTTGATCAGTTGAAGATTCTCTTGGGGGTACTTAGTTGGTTTGAAGTGGTTTTGGGACTGAGAGTAAATTGGACCAAAAGTAGATTGATTCCAGTGAGTAAAGTGGAGAATCTCGAAGAGCTCACAGAGATTTTACTTGGTCAGATTGGATACTTGCCTATCTCCTATCTTGGCCTTCCTCTTGGAGCGAAGTGCACCTCTGCGGTGGTGTGGAATCTGGTGGTTGAGAGAGTGGAGAGGTGTCTTGCCCAAAATTATTACCCTTGGCTAAGCGGTTGTTGAAGCGTAACTTTAGGTGTCGAATCCACAGAGAAGCTAATTAAACCAACAAAAGGAGTTATCGCTAAGAGTAAATAAACTAAAAAAAATGATTTTCTAAAAATAAGAATAAGAATATTCGAATAAAAGTAACAATGATTGAAGGATGAAAAGTAGTACTGTGATGAACAAGGCTTCGAGATTCACTTGATTGATTTGTTCAGCTGTTCTCAACGTTAATTCCTATTTATTACTCAATTGCATGTTTCACATCCCAAACAAACAATCAGAAAATATAACTTTGAAGACCAATGATAAGAACAAAAGTGTTTGTTCTGAGAAAATTAATTTCAATGAAGAACAGAGTGATCTATTCTTACAAGCTATCCAAGAGCGACAATATATCAAACTGATAGTATTGCAGTAAAGGATCAACCCATAAAATAAATCTACCCAATCAATTATTTCCTAACAAATTGCACATAAAAGGAGCATGGCTAATCTCATATGGAAATTGAAGAATATAACTTATGGGTTATCAAATCTAAAAATAATTAAGAATCTCTCAAGAACAAAATCAAACGTTGAAATCTCTCAAGGAATCAAAGCAAAATAACAAATAAAACTCAACTATCAAGATCCTCCCTAGCCCCGTTGAAGCTTTAGCCGCGCTTGGACGTCATTCTCCCCTGTTCTCCTTGTGAAAGAATGAGAAAATAATGGCAAAATAACCTCTGCCGGTCGTACCCTTTTAGGTCAGATTTTTCCCTTTTTATTGCGCCGTCAGGCTCCTCAAACTGCTCAACCCAGATCCGCATCTTATTCCCCCTTTTTTGCCTTGATAGAAATTGATTTAAAAAAAAGAAGTCATCAATAGATGAATTGTAGCCCTATATCTTAGCTCTCCATATCTTCAAGAATCATCGAATTCGGACGTCTGTAGAAAAAGTTATGCCCAAAATACCAGACCCTGTTCAGTGTAAAACGGGAAACAAATCAGCACTCATACTTGGGTCATGGAACTTGGGCTTGGGTTTCTTGGACATGTGTTTGGGCTTTCCTCCATTCAATTATTAATCCTTCCAGCATAAAAAATTGCACAAACAATAAAATTAACATTTATAAGATTACTATGGAAAAATACTACTTTTAAGCTCTTTATTTTACAAATGTCAAATGTTTAGCACACTTCAGATATACATTTTCATGCTTTCATCAAGAGGAAGCTTATGTCTTGGAAATCCAAGTACCTGTCGCTGGGGGGCAGAATTACATTACTAAAAAGCTCGCTTTCTAATCTTCCGGCCTACTTTCTATCTCTTTTCCCAATTCCAGTCAAAGTTGCCCAAAGAATTGAGAAAATCCAAAGAGATTTTCTTTGGAGGGGCTGGGAGGAGGAAAAGAAATGCCATCTGGTTAACTGGGACCAGGTATGTTGCCCTAAGGAGAAAGGGGGGTTGGGGATCAGGAAGCTTAAATTGTTTAATAAAGCTCTCTTGGGAAAATGGATTTGGAGATCTGAGAAAGAAAAAGGCAGATGGAGGAAATTAATTGCAGCAAAATATGAGACTGACAGTGGGAACTGGGTAACTACTAATCAATTGAATTCTTTAGGTTGCTCACTGTGGAAAAAAGTCATGGAAGTTCTACCTTGGATGAGTAGTGGTCTAACTCCAAAAGTGGGGAATGGGAATAGGTTGCGTTTCTGGAGGGATACTTGGTGTGAAAGTACACCCCTGGCTGAAGTATTCCCTCAGTTGTTTCAGATTGCGGAATATCAGAATGGATCGGTGGCTAGTCAATTTGAAGTGAGGGGGGGCACTATTATTTGGAGCCCTTCTTTTAGAAGGTCATTTCAGGACATTGGGAAAGTTGCAGATCTCTTGGGGCTGCTTCACAGACAGTCCATTGACTTGTCGTCTGAGGACTCTTGGATATGGAAGTTTAGTGTGGATGGTAGTTTCTCGGTTAGCTCTTTTGTGGAGGTTCTAAATGAAGCTGTGCATCCTAAATTTCCAGTGGTGAAAATTTGGAACCCTTCGGTGCCTTCTAAAGTGAATGCTTTGGTGCTGCGTCTCTCAACAGATGCCTTACGAAAGACTCCCTGGTTAGAAGGGGTGTTCAGATTCAGGACCAGCTGTGTGCTCTTTGTGGAGATATGGAGGACGATGGCAGGCACCTATTCATTCACTGTTTGGTTACAGCTGCAATATGGAATCACTTTTTATTGGGGGTAGGGCTGCAATGGTGTATGCCTGATTCAGTTCTGGACATGATATGGAGTTGGGAGCTGAAGGGTGGTTCAAAATTGGCGAAGTGCATTTGGAGTGTCATACCTGCAGCCATCTTATGCACAGTCTGGACGGAAAGAACCAGAAGGATCTGTCAAAATAAGGCTGCGAGCATAGATTGCCTTTGCATTTGGAAAGATAGTTTCCTGGGTGGTAGCGGCGAAGGACATTCAGGCTTCTGTCCTTTGTTCTCAGCTGAGATATAGGATTTTTCTTGAGTTATGATGTATTGTATGTGTTAAAGTGAGTTGTGTTGGCTCTTTGTTTTAGGGGCCTGGGTTGTAATCTGCCACTTTTGGCTATTTGAATAAAATTTTACCTTATCTTTTTCAAAAAAAAAAAAAAAAGAAAGGACCAATCCACCGTATCATGGGCTTTTACTAGATCTAATTTACAAATTAAGCCTTTGCCTCCTTGTTTTTTCCTTTCTTCCACACATTCATTTGCCACAAGAATTTGGTCAATTATTTGTCTCCCTTCCACAAAAGCTCCCTGATTTTGGGAGATTAACTGGGGCAAGATACTCTTAAATCATCCCACTAGGACTTTAGCAATGATTTTGTACAAGCTATCCATCAGGCTTATTGGCCTATGAACTTTTGGAGATTTGACAATATGAATAATTTAGTCTAATGATATCTATTGTACTACTATAAATAAGAATATTAATGCTATAAACCGACGATGAATAGTTTAGTCTAATGATATCTATTGTACTACTATTAATAGCATAAAATAAAAATATAAAAATATAATGTTGTGTCTTATATATAAATATGTAGGAGTTTGGGTGAGGTGACCCTCCAAAAGTGCCTTATTGCCTAGGCATCACCTTGACAACTATGCTTAGTAGTCTTTGTTGATCCCATTTCTGGAGAAGAAAAAAATATTAGAGGATATAACATTTTTTTATTCTTCTGGACTCTGATGATGATAATTTGATATATTTCAAGCTCAGGTAATTGTCTTGTTTATGCATGGTTGTGGGTCCTTTCTTGGTGTGGAAGACTGCAATTATAACACTTAGATGTGGACCAGAAGCTGTAGGCCACATCTGGATTGTGGAATTCAATTGGTTCCTCCGGATTACATTTTTACATCTTCATCCATTTTATCATATGTGTGTACATTTTTTGGAGACTTTAATAGTTATGCAGGATTCCTTGTCTTTCTGATTGTATTTTTGGTACCAATCTAACTTTTCAATATTCCTCTTCATTCTGTTTATCCATATTGTAATTTCATTAAGCTGCTAAAATGTGAGTCAGCTTATCTACCTTATGAAGCTACTTGGTCCAATGGGTTCATTCATTAAGTGAACAGCTAATTCCTTGATGAGAAGCATATCCCTTCTATTTCTTATTTTTTCCCCATTTGCCTTATTTTCAGGTAGAAGAGAACAAAGTAGAGAGCGTTAAAAGAGACAAGGCAGCAACTGAGAAGCTACTGCAAGAAACAATAGAGAAACACCAAACAGAACTTGCTTCTCAAAAAGAATATTACACGAATGCTCTGAATGCGGCCAGGGAGGCTGAAGCATTAGCAGAGGCACGAGCCAATAATGAAGCAAGAACTGAACTTGAGAGTCGTCTCAGGGAGGCTGAAGAACGTGAAGCTGCATTGGTTCAAGCATTAGAAGAATTAAGAAAAACTCTAACCCAAAAGGAGCAGCAGGTACTAGTTTGAATCAGGAACTCTGGTTTGATTCCATCTTTTACTATAAAAAAAATGATATAATCTTTTCCATGATGCTGTAGAAAGTTTTTAGAGAAGACATGCTTCGGAGGGACATTGAGGATCTTCAGAAGCGTTATCAAGTATTTTTTTTAAACTTTCTTTAATTGTGACATTTGTTTAAAAATAGTTTATTGTACCTTGTCTTTCTATTTAGGTGTTTTCAATGTTTTTCAAGCTTCAGTTTAATATGATTTGACTGTTTTTCCAGGCAAGTGAGCGTCGATGCGAGGAGTTGATTACACAAGTTCCTGAATCTACTAGGCCACTTTTAAGGCAGATTGAAGCTATGCAGGTTACAGTTTGATATGGTTTGACTATTTTGATTTCAAAGTAGTGATACCCTGATATGGTTTCGGGGTGTATTGATACTTTGAACTCCCTTATTTAGCAGATCAGTGACCGCCCCCCCCCCCCCAAAAAAAAAAAAAGGTAATTAGATGGTTGGGCTTTGAATTTGGTATTCTTTTGAATAATTACAGGAGACAACTGCTAGGAGGGCAGAGGCCTGGGCTGCTGTGGAGAGGTCCCTAAACTCTCGTCTCCAGGTTCTAGAAATTTTTAAATATTTTGCTTCCTATGTTTTCTATGTGTAATTCCCTCCATATGCCTTGTTAATCTGAACTCCTTTTGTTATTGGATTAACAGGAGGCAGAGGCCAAAGCTGCAACTGCTGAGGAAAGTAAGCGGTCTGTGAATGAACGTCTATCTCAAACTTTATCTCGTATAAACGTTCTTGAAGCTCAGGTTCTTCCTTTTTCTCTAGTGATACTCTTTTGGAACTGGTTTAGATTTTCACTTGATGTTCACTTACTAAAATGAAGTATTTTAGATATCATGTCTTAGAGCTGAGCAGACACAGATTAGTAGGTCCCTTGAAAAGGAGAGACAGAGAGCAGCTGAAAATAGGCAGGAATACCTTGCAGCAAAGGAGGAAGCTGACACTCTGGAAGGTCGTGTCAACCAACTTGAAGAAGAAATCAAGGAGCTCAGGAGGAAACACAAACAGGAGTTACAAGACACACTGGCCCAGAGGGAATTATTAGAACAGGTAGCCTTTCTGTGGTACTTATCTAACTTATAAATTGATGTGCATAACAATGTGAGAGAGTTAATGACAATGACTTTGTTTGCTTTTAAAAGAGCAGAAAGTAGTATCCCCATAATGAATGCTTGTCATAAATGGCTAGCTTCTATAGTATTCTGGGTCCTAAAGGTGTAATCATGTGCATTTTGTTATTTCCTGAAGTTTCATTGCACTTAATGTTAGCTACTAGTTCTGTTTTATGTGTATATATTTTGATTTTTGAAGGCCAAACTGCATTAGTGCATTACAATTTTTTTAAGGTAAAGTATCAATTCATTCAAATAGAAAAATAAAAGACCCATGTACAGCCAGAGGCTGTACAATGGGAGAGCACACACCAATTTAGACTACTATCCCATTTGTGATTACAAAAAGATTTTCAACCTCAAGAAGAGAACTAAAGAAAGATCTGTCTAAGGCTAACTGTGCTGATGTTCAGGATAACAGCTTCCCAACTATTTTCTGCCACACTTCCTCCACTTGACAGCCTTTGTTTTAGAATAGCCTTGAGTTTCTTTCCTGCCATATCGACCAGAAAACTGCTCCTGGAACCATTTGTCTTATAACTTTCCCTTTCTTACTCAAGCCTCGGATCTGCCAACCTTTCACAAAATCTTCTACTGAGGCTGGGCAGCAACTCTTGATAGCGAAGATCCTGAAAATTTTCAACCAAATGTTGTAGGTGAAACTACAATGCAGTAATAGGTGGTCACCTGATTCTTCTACCCTGTTGCATAACACGTTCTGGTGAATCAATCACCATTCCCCTCCTAATCGGGTTGTTTGTCTTTTGTAAGAATCTTGTTCAGGTAGGTAGACCAAACAAAAAAAAAAAAAAGCCACCTTTGATGGGATATGTTTGCACCAGATTATATTCAAAGAAAAATCCTGCTGTTCCTCTTGAGCTAACTTATTATAAAAGGATTTTACCATGAACCGGCCCTTGCTATCCTCTGACCACACCCTTCTGTCTTCTTAGTTAAAATCAATTTGCAAGCTCTACAGCTTCTGGAGAAGCCTTCCAAGTGGTTCAATCTCCCAATCATTCAAAGTTCTTCTGAAGCATGGGTTCCAAACATATTTCCCATTTTGAAACTGCACACAGTCTGCTACTCTTGCCTCCTTATCAACAGCAACTGCAAAAAGTTCCGGGAAATCATCCTTTAACATATTGTTTCCACACCAGCAATCTGTCCAGAATCTGACCCTGGTTCCCCTTCCCACTTTACGACTGATTTGCTTCACCTGGATTCCACCACAACTCCCTTGCTGTGCAAACCTCTAGAACCAGTTTCCAAGCAGTGCTAAGTTCTTTTCTCTTAGTCTTCTTATGACCAATCCTTCATTCTTCTTATGTTTACAAACCTCTCCCCAATTTACCAAAACAACTTTTTTACCATCCTTCTATCCTGTCCATGAGAACTTTCTCATTCTTATCTCAATTTGAGATGCCATCCCTGCTGGAATTGGGTAAAGCGATAATGAGTAAACAGGTAGAGAAGACAGAATACTCTTTATTAGAGTGAGTTTACCCCCATTTGATAGATAACTTGCTTTCCACCTAGTCAGCAGCCTTTTCTCTATCCTCTCCACAATTGGTTCCCACATAGACTTAGCATTGCATTTGGCCTCCAAAGGCATTCCCACAGATACTTCAATGGAAACTCACACACTTTAAATACCCAGAAATCAGTCCAAAGTTGCAATTTTTGCACCTCACCCACTGCTACCAGCTCAATTTTGTGCACATTCAGATGTAATCCAGAAACCACTTTGAACCACCACAGTGTTGCCATCAAATAGTAAAGTTGCTCCCATGATGCATTGCAAAAGAATACCGAGTCATTTGCAAACTGTAACAGGGGAATGTCTAAACCATTCACTCCCACTGTGAAACCCTCCTAAGTACCACTTGACAATACTCTTGAAGTCAATTTCCCTAAGACTTCTGTCACACAAAGAAATAGCAGGGGAGACAAGGGATCACCTTGCCTTAAACTCCTTGAACTCCTGAAACGACCACAAGCCACACCATTAACCAAAACCGAAAAAGGAGTTGTTACACATACCTTCATCCAATTCCTCCACCTGGAACTAAAATTCATTCTCCATAATATGTAGTCCAAAAAGTCCGAATTTCCATGATCATAGGCTTTTTCAAGATCCATCTTACACAACAAACCAACTCTTTCACTCCTAACCCGGGAGCCTATTAGTTCATTTTCTATTAAAACCCCATTTTCCAACTGTCTTCCCTCAACAAATGCTCCTTGAAACTCCGAAAGAACATAACCATGATTGATTTCAACCTTTTGGCCGGCAATTTGGATAAGATTTTATAAGCATTACCAATAAGACTAATTGGTTTGAAATCCTTAAGTTCCTTGGCCCCTTCTTTCTTAAGGATTAATGAAATAAAAGTGGAGTTTAGACTTCTTTCTAAAGCAGCAGAAGAATGAAACTTGGAGAATATTGCCATAATTTCTTCCTCCATTAAGCCTCAATACTTTTTGGAAAACTTCATAGTGAAGCCATCTGGGCCAGGAGCTTTATCAACCTCCCATTTCATTTATTGCTTCCCACACCTCCTATTCAGTAAACATCCTCTTTAAATTTCTCACGTGTTCCTCAAACAATCTACTAAAATCCAATTGTTCCACCTTAGGCCTTCTCTTCCATTCTTCCTTGTATGGCTTTGAAAAGAAATATTTGTTGCCTCTTTAATTCTCGTTTCATCCTCCACCTCTTCCCCATCTATGACTAGCCTCTTTATCAAGTTTTCTCTTCTTTTAGCATTTGCTATTTGTAGAGAGACTGGGCCAAATGGGCCCCTAGTACTTGTTTATGTTTTAAGTAGCACCATGTTTACATTTTATGTGTTAATGGGCCTGTTAACTTGTTTTGTTTTTCTTTAAGTTGTTTATGTACTGACCGCCTACTCTCTTCATTGCTCACCATAGAGTATGTTTGAGCAAGGGTGACTTCATCCTTGGCTAGAATATTCTGCCTAGTAATGTCGAACTCAGGGTTGAGTCCTATAAGAAACTCAAACACCCTGTTTCGTTCTACCAATTTTTCTAAATTCTCTGCATTCTTGGTGCTCTCCCATACAACTGTCTCCATAACATCAATCTACTGTCACAATGATTTCAACATGGAGAAGTAGACTACTACACTCTTCTTCCCTTGTCTTAGATTGTTCACATCACTCTTCAATTTATAGGCTCTCCTTGGAAAAAGTCATCCAAAGGTAATGTTGGCTTATGTAGGGCTGCATAGAATTGACTAACCACCCAATCATTGTGTAGTTCTCCTGCAACCATTTTTCATACGTAGGGTCCGTCTTTGCAGGTTTCTCCTTACTGCCTGTGAAATACCCCAGTATACTTCTACTTCAAAGATAAGTCCATATAGACTGTGCCCAAGCTAGATAATTGGTTCCATCTAGTTTAATTGTAGTCACTCCACTCAAAAAGGAATCTATTGGACCAACCCCGAATACCGGAATCTGCTTCATTTCAATTCCAGATTGCTCCATTAATCAAACGAAAATAAAAAAACTATTTTTTCACTCTTTATGGACCTAACCGATGTCAGCCATGTACCAAAAAGTTCAAAAACTAGGGTTTCACTGCACTCGGCTCAATGAGAGAAAGAGAGAAGAGATAGCCGCTCCTACCAGAGCTTCCCAACCTTCTTCAAACCTCAACTTCTCCCTTCTGGGAATCAAAAGAAATCTCCCAAGCCCTAAGCACCACAACCAATTCTTCTCTTTATCCTATAACTTGAAATCTCTCTAGTTGGCTAGGGTTTTGGGCAGAAAAATAAAAGCTCCACTTCTTGGCACTCTTCAGCCAGACTCTAATTCTCAAAACCCTCTACCAACAAGGAAAACAGTCCTTTGAATGATCAGAAGCTTATCTCATGGAAAAAGAAAAAGAAAAAAAGGAAGAGGGAAAAATTGCTCTGATACCAAAACGTGAAACTGTCCAAATCTGATAATTAGAACTGATTACAGCAGTAAAAGAAAAAGAAAAAAAGGTGATCACAGCAGAAGGAAGAAGAAGAAGGAGAAGAAGAGAAGAAGAAGAGAAGAAGAAGAGAAAGGAGAAAGAGAGAGTTCAATGGATCCCTCCTCTCTCTCTTAATCTTTTATTAAACCCACTTAACTATGTCTAATTACATCTCTGCCCTTAAGTGGGCGGCCATCACATAAATAACTTAAAAGAAAAACAAAACAAGTTAACAGGACCATAATAAAAAAAGGCCCATTAACACATAAAATGTAAACATGATGCTACTTAAAAACATAAACAAGTACTAGGGCCCATTCGGCCCAGTCTCTACACTATTTTGTGGGAAAATTTGGTATTTTTATCACCTTTCTTCTGCCATAGACACTTTGACCTCTGTCTCCATTTTATTTCCTCTTGAAAAGCAAGTTCATCAAAGTCTGCTTTGGCACTCCACTGATGTTTGTCCATTCTCTTCACCCATTTAAATACAAGCTTCCTTCATACCTTTATTTTCCCTTTAAGGCACTTGGTTTCTTACTAACAATAAAGCGTGTTGAACCTTCAAAATGAAATTGAGACCACAATAGCTCTAATAGAATCATAAAGCCCTCCTCTTCCAGCCAGAGGTTCTCAAATCTAAAAGGAGAAGGTTTAGGTAGAATTCCATTACTGTCCAAGCAGATTGGCTTGTGATCTGATAGAGGACGGGAAAGGGACTCCATGGAAAGTTGGCCAAATTTCTCTTCCCAGCCTATTGAAACCACAAATCTATCAAGTTTTTTTTTCCTAAAATTGCCACCTCCTGATTGTTTGTCCAAGTGTATTTTGTTGCCAAAAGATGGATGCCCACTAATTCCCATCTACTCATGAACGCCCCAAAACCTCTCATGCCCTTTGATGCCCTACTTCCTCCTTTTTTCTCATGTGCAAATCTGGTAGTATTGAAGTCTCTGGCTACCCACCCAAGGTTTCTCCCATGTTCCCCTAACCCTATCCAGTTCCACCCAAAACAGCTTCATCAAACAATTTTCTTTTGGCCCATAAACCCCTGAAAAAATCCATTCCCAACCATCTTTTTTTGAAGGATAGTTTAAAATTCATTAATCTGAAAAAGAGATACAATACAGATCAGTTGGTTGTCAACTTGACAAACCAACCAAAACTACACCACTCAAACTGAAAATAATTCTTCATTACAAGGATGCAACTCAAGAGTACTCCAAAAATTCTCTGACAAATCAGCTTTGTTCACTTGATTGAAATCTGGGAGCTGCAGAACCCAATCTGATATCAGCTTACTCACTGCAGCTACCAGAAGATCCCCAACCATCTTTGCACAACTGGAATAAAATGGATAATGAGAATTGTCCTGTTATTTTATCCTTCATCTTCAAAACATCCGGATCTCAAACGATGACCAAACCCCCTGTTGTACCAATTTCTACTTCCTCATATTGACATGATTTGAGCCAATTCTATGCTTTCCATTTTAGTCTCTTGAAGGCAAAGGACGTTTGGATTCCACTTCCTAACTTGAGCTCCAATCACTACCCTCTTATGACCAGAAATTAGGCCTCTTACGTTCCATGAAATAATCTTCATGATGATTGTTTAGAGAAAAGAACTTGAAGAGCAGTTACATCCCCTTTTCACCTCCTTCTACCACCCTCACACCCACCCGTAGTTCCTAATTTATCATTTAAACCCAAGCGAGTCTGAAAAGTTCCCTTTCAGTCTTTTTTTTTTTTTTGATCAATAACAATTTCATTAATTCACCGAAGAGGTTACATAAGGAAGACAAACACACTTATCTTCGAAGTACAATCAAGAAAACAAAAGAATAGGTAGGGACAAAAAATTACAACTTAGCCCAAAACATTGAATCCCTTTCTGCCCCTTGTTTAGCTAAACCATCAGCTACAGAATTGGCTGATCTTTTGACCCAGCACATTTTAACTTCCATCTCCCGCACGAGCCACTTAAATTTCCTCCTCTGATTATTGTACCTCCATAAACCATTGCTGTCTGCATTCAGCCACTCTATCACCACCTCCAAATCCCCTTCAATTAAGAGTTTTCTGATGTTCATCTCCTTGGCCTTTTGGACTCCTTCCATAACTGCAAAGATCTCAGCTCTAAGGGAGTCACTCACTCCAATTGGGCCTGAGAACAAGGCAAAAATTACCCCATTCTCATCCCTAAAGACACCCCCAATCCCTGATTGTCTAGGGTTCCCCCTACTACTCCCATCAAAATTTAATTTCATGAACCCAGCAGGTGGAGGTGTCCAAGACACATTCATTACTGACTTGGTCTGTGTGCACTTTGCTATTTCACCCCACTTCCTCAACATGTCATCCACTGTGTAACCTGTGAATAGTTCCAAAGATTTCAGCCACTGTACAACCATAAAATGAATGATAGCCTTTAGTTCTTCCACCCCTCTCTCAGCCGCTGAGAATATCCTGAAGTTTCTTTCTTCCCACATTGTCCAATATACTGCAGCCCTCAAACCTCTCCACATAGTCCTTCCCCTTTTCCTACGCCACCTGAAGACAGAAGGGGAAAAAAGGCCCTGCAGATCTGATGGAGGGTTCCATCTACACCCAAAGAGGGAAAAAGCCCATTCCCAAATTGACCTCGGAAAATGGCAAGACACCAGTAGGTGAAAACCAGTCTCCCCATCCACTTTACATAGAACACACCAATGGGGTGACAAGCAAGTATTGGGTCGCTTCTTTTGGAGTAGATCACCAGTGTTGAATCTTTCCAGATAGGCTTCCCAACAAAAACTACCAACCCTAGGAGGGATTGCTTTGCACCAAACCTCATCAACAGGGAAAGGGGGGATTACAGGACTGGTGGACTGGCTTAGGACTTTGAAAAAGGAAGCACAAGAAAAGAAGCCAGTGGGGGTAGGGGTCCAAATTCTAGAATCCACCCTTGCGGGGTCTAAGACAAATTATAAGAAGTTCAAGAAGGCTTGAAATATTAGCAAAGTCTGAATCCCTCAAGGCCCTTCTGAGACCCAAATTCCACCCAAGCCCAGAATTGGAAGAGGATGGGGTAATGAAGGATGAAACTGGCTCATTTTTAAGATCAGATAGAGCATACAAAGAAGGAAACTGATCCTTTAGAGGGGCATTTCCTTTCAGTCTTTCTGCTCTTCTTTCCTCTCTCCTCCAAGATTATTCTTTCAACTTCCATGAGATAGCCTTTGGTCATTTCCTCCTTTCCTTTCACTGAAAAGCCCCAAAACTCCCAAAATTTAGCAATTTGGACATCACCCAGGGTGATGGATCCTCGAACTCTCCCAAATGAAAGCACCCTTGTTCCGATCTTTGCTGTCCCTGACCCAAAACCGCTATTTCCATACGTACCTGCTAACCTCCATTCGTTTGCAGGGACAACTGCCAGTGGTCATACTTCAGCACTGCTTCCTTGGGTCTGCACCTCCAACAAGTTATCTTCTCCCTTCTGTGTAGGTGTCACCAATGATTCTTGATCATCGTTGCCCCTAACCTCTTTGATATCTACAGGTGGCTTCCTCATTTGACCTTCCAGTGATTGCTGGTTTCCCATCTGGTTACCCTCCCCTTCAACTGATATGCCAAGAGGCTGTCTTTCCCAGTGTCTCACTGCTTTGAGTTGCTGGTGTGTCGTTTTGCACCAGAGAGAAGAAGGTATCTATTGTTTTGGACCAAACCTGGTTTGGTTCCCTCTCTACTATGGTCCAACACCCCCTTGTCTTTGGTTTGAACCAGGTTCGATTGGGAAATCTTCTCACCTTGAGATGCCAAGTTGACCACATTAACCTTCACCCTCCGATCTGAATCTTCAAAAAGTCTCCCATTTAGTCTTTCCCTTAGTGCTCTCCAACCCTCCCAATTTTCTCCAGTTGTCGGGCCCTGAAACCAGTAATTGTTCCAGTTTTCCAAGAAATTTGAGTGTCAATTTTTCTAAGAAAGTGTCTTCGTTCAAAATTTGAAACTTGTTTAGGTTTCCAAGATCATTATCGACAGCCACCTGGATATTATCCACTCCTGTTAGGCTTTTTTCTCTGTCAGGCATCTCAGATATTCTACGCTCCCAGGAATTTCTCGTAGCATCTGCATTAGTTTATTACAATCAATTCATACTGTTGAAATCAGAAGGCCAAATAAAAAAAATCCATCTTGTTACATAGTTTCTACTATTAATTTGTCAGTTTACTTGGTGGAATGCAGTCAGAGTTCCCATTTTTAATAATTAGTTTCTCTCTTCTGTCATTCCAATAAAATTCCTTGAAGGAGTTGATGGGAAGTCAAAACCAGTCTTCCCTATGCAATTATTCTCCAATTTGTAATAAAAGTTCCCTTCCTATATGCTTGAATGTTCTTTGTGTGCCTTTTCCATCTTATCTACTTACATGGCTAAATCTTGGTTATGGTTTATTGCATTACTCAACTCTAGTGAGTTGGTTTTAGGAAGAACAACTTGTTATGACTTAGTTGTGCTGATGTGGACGACTACTGTATGCAAGCTTAAAGCGAGTTTGAGGATGTCCAGTAGTATTGGGCCTTGAGTCTTCCATGGGCCGCATGGCTGAGTCCAGGGATTGTCAGGCTGCATAGGAAAAAAAAGAAAACCTTACTAGGACAAAATGCAACTTATATACAACCTTTTCTTTGTACATTTATATCAGCCCCTCTTCCCTGAGAAAATTTCTGGTTATGCCTGTATCCAATGATGCAAAGTGGATGCCTATTTTTTCTTCTTTATTTTTTTATCTTGCATATTTAAATGTTGAGACATGCTAAAAAATATACATTATGTCCATATTTAGGGAGACATGAAATGCCAAAAATTTTTTTGTAAAGCTAAAACCTCATCTTTTTTTGTCACACTTGCTGGAACTATATTCAGTTAATAACCATATGCGGAAGGAGATGAGGCTTAAGTGAGGGAAAAAACGTCCAAACCTGATCTTTTCCTGGGATTCTTACCGAAAAAAAAAAGATCTTTTTCCTGGGATAATCTCGAAAATATTCTTGATGCTTTCAAGAATATGAAAAGAGAACTATTGGGACAAAGTTTTTGGGTATGTGAGGTTACCAGTTTTCCTCTTACCTGGATGCTTTCAAGCTATGGTTGAGATGGAACATATCAGGGAAAATATAAACATTTATAGTCTTGTATTTTTGTTGTTTACAATGTTTTACTTTAAAAAATATGACATAAGTTTTTTGCTTATATATCCAGTCTTTGTGATGAGTATGTTGGATCTGTTAAACCATTGTTTTCAGTGTTCATTCAAGATTCTATGTAGAGTATCACGATCCTGACATTTATTTTCATTGTGAAATTCAAGTATCCTGATTTGAGTACCTTCTTATAGGAGCTTGAACGGGAGAAAACTATGAGGCTAGATTTAGAAAGGAGTGCTCATCTTGAAACTCCTGCAGTATCTGATCAAGCTCCAAAATCAAAGCATACACATCCTTATGTTGACAATGGTGGTTTATGGCCTAAATTGCACCAATTCTTTTTTTTTTTGGTTTTATAGTTTGCTCTATATATTCATTAGTTATATTTTCATGTTGTGTAGGAAACCTCTCCAACCGGAAGCTTTCTAGTGCTCGAAGCCTAAGCAGCATGGAAGAAAGCTTCTTCCTACAAGCATCTTTGGACTCATCTGATGGTTCCTTTGAGCGGAAACATCATGGTGACACAACCATGACACCTTACTATTTAAAGAGCATGACACCAAGTGCTTTTGAATCTACACTCCGTCAGAAGGATGGTGAACTTGCTTCTTACATGTCTCGTTTGGTATGCATCATTCATCATAATATTTTCTTTTTCATTTCCTTTAGTTATGTTTAATTTGTGAATATGTTTATTTGTTGGTATAGCTTGTCTGAAATTGTCATTGCTTTGTTTGTCATTATTGGTACTGTAAATTCTGTAATGTATTCCTGTGGTACTTTTGCTTCAAGTATCACAGTAATTTCTACTACCTAATTTCTTTACAGCTTAATGAGTAGATCTTTCTCCGTTAATGATGTTTGGATTTTTTCTCTCTTCTGGTGGGAATTCTTTTATTGTCAACTTAATTTTTTTTTTCTTTTATGTCAAAATCTTATCATTCTTTAAGTCTAGTTTATTTGGTCTGGGGTAGGAATACTGTTCGTTTCTAAATGTTGATTATTCATGTTATCAATGTCAATATCCAATCTATTTTAGATGATCCACATTAATTTTTGTTTGATCAGTGATGATCCACATTAATTTGTACATTGATTATTCATTCCAGACATCCTTGGAATCCATCCGGGACTCTCTTGCAGAGGAATTAGTTAACATGACAGCACAGGTCAATCTACATCAATTTTCAGTCTGTTCTTATTTCTTGTGATATTGCTTAACTGGAATCTTTATGGATGTTCAGTTTGAAAAATTACGGATGGAGTCAGCTGTGCTGCCTGGCTTACGAGCAGAGCTAGAGGCATTACGAAGAAGGCATTCTAAAGCTCTGGAGTTGATGGGTGAACGTGATGAAGAGGTGCATATTGTGTGGGGTTCTACAAACACAGAGATAGACTTTACCTGGCTAAAGTTTTCAATATTTTCTTTTCGTTTGCTTTTTCCCTGATCGTGAAATAAAAGTGTTTCTTGTTTGCAATTGAGAAATCAGTGCATGTGCTAGCTGTATGTGCTCTGGATCCCGGTTTTCATTTCCTCTTTATCTGAAGCTCCAGTTAAGTTTGAATGAACTGTATGTACAAGGCTGATGGGTGCACTGGGATAAAAAATTAGGTTCGAGCTAGCATAGCACACCAAGAGTTGAAAAGAAAGGAAGCAAACTTGCAGCACTTGCATGAAAGCTCACTTCTTTCTTTTCACTTTCTATTTTATTCTTATTAATATCCCTCAGAGTTTGCAAAAGCTAGTATAGATGTTATAAAATTTGCTGACTCATTTATTCATTTCCAACCTTAAAAGTTATCTCAAGTAGTTGAATTTGATTAGTCCACTTGAAAGGATAAAAATTCACATTCAGATGAGGAGGTTGTTTTTATTTATAGTGAAGCCTGAGAATTTATTTCGGGTATAAGTTAAGAAAAGGAAAAGTAAACTAATTCTAACCTGTCAAACCTTTTAAAAATTAGAAAAGGTAGATTAGACATGCAATCAACATTTCCTTGGCCCTTGTTAGGTCATTGTAAAGCTTCTACTTTTTAACTTAAGCTTGATTAAGTGGCTTAGGGTTCATCAGTTCATGGTGTGTACAAGTGCATGCTTTCAGTTGCTACTGGTGGTCCTATTTCTGATTATGATCACATTAAGAATTCAAAAAGGCATCCTTTTTTTTAGAAGACTAAATTGGTGACTTTTGCAAGTGGATATATTTTTGCAGCTAGAAGAACTTCGAGCTGATATTGTGGACATGAAGGAGATGTATCGAGAGCAAGTAAACTTGCTTGTGACCAAGGTACTTGTATTCTTCCCTGCCGAGGTGCATTTTGTTTTTGGTTCTTGACAATCTTGGTGAAGTCTTTTTCACAATTGTCCTTACTTGTTAGCAGATCCAAAGGTTGAGCTCTTCTACAATCAAAGCCACCACTTGATCTTTGAATTTGGTTATGGTCTTCCCTTTTGTACTGATCAGATGAATTTTCAAAGGTTGTGTTTTTAAATGTACTGGAGATAGATATGTGGCTTCTCCGGTCTATAGCAAGGCTTATTGTTGTATATCACAAATGGAAATAGATGAAATCAATACCAAAATGGTATTGCACATCTCTATTTTTTTTTTTTTATTTCAAAGCAAATTTCTCTTAGTGAATTTACTATCTATTAGGAGCTTGCTTCATTCAAGGTTTTGCCATCAGTGTTGCTTGTTTACTTCTCAGTTTATTGACTGTATTCCGTCTGAGGAGTAGCAATTGTAGACTTTATCATGTAAACATTACTATGTAGAGGCAAGTGACTCCAGCGGGACTGACAGATGACCCCCGAGGCCTAGGGCTGTGCATTTGGGTGGATTCCCAGTTCCCACTTATTAGAATGCCTAGACCGAAATTCAGGGCTTTCTGTGGAATATCAGTGGTGGAACTTTTGATACCATTCTTAATATCACCTTTTAGAAAGCGCCAGTATGCCAATATCGCCTTTGAGCTTGGGGGTTCCGTCATTCCCACATTGGCGAGCTTAGAAGGGGATTGAGCAGCACGAGGAAGACAAGGGAACAACCTGACAAAGGATGAAGGTGGTTTAGGGCTTGGGTACCCACTGAATCTTGGTCATCTCAAGTAGGCCCATGCCAATAGAACAAGGGAGATGTTCCCGATGAGCAGCTGGTATATGTTGTGAGGTAGATGTGAGGAGCAGATCCAGACTCATGCCAATACGTGGTGCCTCTCTTGAAATAAGGATTAGCTGAACAAAATAGCTGTTCCCGCAGGCTGTGGAACCTATGCTATGATAACTCCCCACACTGGTAATATAATAATACATGGGACCTACAATCATTTAATTTCTCATTGTGGGTCCCATGTATTTTATCACTGGTGTGGACCATCTATTGAGACCGGATCTGTTTCTCACACGCACATTCTATCATGCATTGGGAATATCTCCCATGCTTATTAGTTATTATTCATGAGAGATGTTTCCAATGCACGGTGAATGTGCCTGTGAGGCGCTCATTTGTGAGAAGTAGATCCTGCTTCGCATCTATTGCCTATTGAACAGCTATCACGTTTGGTTAATCCGAATTCTCTCGTGTTTTGGCACGTGCCATGGGCATGGGAGTAATTTGGATTCATTCATTCTGTGTAAAATAATGACCAGCCCATGTATTTTGTGACTGTCTGGCCAGCATCATTAGTTCCACAGCCTGCTAAATAATTATTGCGGCCCCACATTTTTTGACTGGTGACTGGTGTGGGGGCATTATCACTGGATCCTATGTTGGCATGTGAGGGCTTCATCCGGTGGATCCACTTATGGGGGAAAGTGGAAGAAGATCATGTATCATTATCAGGCAATGATGCGATGCAAGTTTAGCAAATTGGCAGTACTGATTACTGAAACACTGTATGCGGCCCTAATTTATACCAAAAGACCCTTGTTGCCTTGTTGGTAACAGTCCGGATCTCATGCACTGAAGGATTTTTTATTTTTATGCTAAAAATCAATGAGAATTTATCAAAACTTGCGGGGATGATTTTTAAGAAAAATCAGCTATGCCCGTGTGCGTAGCCTTGCACGTTAAAACGGTGAACCACAGCCTTTGATTTATTGCTGTATATTGAGAGACCGGATCTGCTCCTCACATAGGGTGCCTAACACGCACATCCTACCATGCATTGGGAGCATCTCCCGTACTTGTAAGTTATTTTTCACGGGAGATGTTTCCAATGCATGGTGGATGTGCATGTGTTGAAGTGGCGTTAAGCCATTAAAGTGGAGAGTGGAGACACAATGAATCGAAAGCCGTGCATAAGGGTTAACTTTGGCTGTTGGGGCCCAACAGCATAGGCTGTTGAGACAATTCCTGGGCTGGACATGTTCTGGGCAGTTCACCTATTCACGCCCATGCTTTGGTTTTTAGTCAAAATAAATTAAGATGTAGTGACTAATTTACCCATTGTCATGGTAATGTAGTATTTCTAGAAATTATCTCAACAGCATAGGCTATTGGCTCCCAACAGTTAAAGTTTTTCCCATGCATAAGGTTTAAATTTTAAAAACCATGAGACTAGCACTATCAGATTTCTCCTTGGTGTTTTTGACCAATCAAACTAAAATGTTGCATTAATTTTGATTTTGATGAATTCTCGTTGGCTAATGTACTAAGAATTAGCACCGGATTCAATCCTCACAAGACTGTGCTCACAAAGTACTCAGCCACTTGTAATCATGTATTAGAGATATATATCTATGTACTTTTTAAGTTTATATTCATAAAGAGATATTTTCCATGCATAGCTGCAAGTGACTTTGATGATATTACCATCGAGAGATGTTTCAAATACACGGTGGGGATGGGCTGTGGGACATTGTGGGGCAGAGATACATACTCTTGAAAAAGGTGAGCATGGTCTTAAAAGTACTGAATCCCGGTTCTACAGATTCTTAAGTTCACATTGGCGCCCCCATAGAGCACACTCCACTTGCACATCTCACCATGTATTAATAACATCTTCCTGCAGGGTTGGGATGTGCGGTTGGATGCACGCACGCTGTTCCACAGAGTGCACAGGTAACGTATGTCAGTCTGGGATTCCAATATGAGTCCAGATCTACCTAAAACAATATGTATAAGTAATAATAACACTGGTGAACTAATACGTTTACTTCTGATTTGGTTTTTAAGCTCGTGTTTCTAACTTTGAAAATTTTGGGGATGTGTGTCGGTTGTGTTTATGCATAGTAAATTGGGCAAAAACAAGTTGTGGCCTTTGTAGGCAGGAAGTGCGATGTAATGGTTATTTATTTTACCTTATTATAATAGGCGCCAACAGAAACGCAACTAAAAAACATGTTCGCTCTGAAAGTGAGTTTAATATTTCTCGGGATTAAAAATGCTTGTGCCTCGTGGCACATAGATGCAAACCACAAATAAAAAACACAACAAAGAAAACCTGAAAAATGAGAGTCGGGATCCGCACTCACAGCGCGCCTCACTCGCCTCACAGCATGTCTTAGTCGTACATCGGGAATATCTCCCTTATTTATATTTATTTTTCATGGGGAGATAATACAAGATGAGATGTGGCTGTGAGGCATGTTCCGTAAAGACCAGATCTTAATTCAAAAAAAGGTAAAATACAAAAACCTCCCCTAAAGTTTCTGACAATTATAAAACCTCTCCTATAACTTCATTTTAACAAATACCTCCCTTGAACTTTTGAGAAACTCAACAAAAACCTCTCTTCCGTTACCTTCCAAGACGGAAAATGTTAAGCTGATGCACTAGTTTTTTTTAAATACCTATTCTACCCTTTTATAAATTATTTTACATACAAAATTACTAAAATAACCCTATTTTGACTCAACAAAAACGTTAAAAAATGATCGTTAAAGGATGTTTTTATCAAGTTAAAATAAGGTTATTTCAGTAATTTTGTGTGAAATAATTTATGAGAGTAGAATGGGAATTTGAAAAACAAAACCAATGCATCAGTCTAATGTTTTCCGTTTGGGAAGGTGATGGAAGGGAGGTTTTTGTCAAGTTTCTCCAAAGTTTAGGGGAGGTATTTGTTAAAAAGGAACTATAGGAGAGGATTTTATGATTGTCAGAAACTTCAGGGGAAATTTTTGCATTTTACCCTAAAAACTTACAGGTATGGAGATGTTCCTAATACATAACTGTAAATTCTAATGGAACAACGTGAAGACAGATTTTATGAAGTCGAAATTCCATATCCGTCTGAATGATACACAATACGTAGGCATTTAGGCAATTACACTTGGATCTTGTTTGGTAGATTGATTGGATAATCCAAGATTATATAAAACTCATTTTTACAGAAGCATCATTTTCTGAAGGGTAAAATATATAAAACCTTCCTTAAAGTTTTTAACAATCATAAAAACCTCCCCTATAAATTATTTTACACACAAACGGAAAATATTAAACTACATCAGGTTTTTTTTTAAATACCCATTCTACTCTTTTATAAATTATTTCACACATAATTATTGAAATAACCTTGTTTTAACTTGACAAAAATATCCTTTAGTGGTTATTTTCTAACGTTTTTGTTGGGTTAAAATAGGGTTATTTTGGTAATTTTGTATGTAAAATAATTTATAAAAGGGTAGAATGGGTATTTAGAAAAAACTGGTGCATCAGTCTAACGTTTTCCGTCTTGGAAGGTGGTAGAAGGGAGTTTTCGTCGAGTTCCTCAAAAGTTCAAGGGAGGTATTTGTTAAAATGAAACTATAAGGGGGGTTTTTATGATTACTAGAAACTTTAGGGGATGTTTTTGTATTTTACCCTTTTTTATTTAGGGAGAATGACCGATAACCCCAAGGTCAGAATTCGTAGGCTCAAAGTACATTTGGGGTAGGTGCCAGCTCGGAATTGATGCCAATTCACGGGTGGGTATGGGTGCATAGAATGTGGTTTTTGGACCTTGTGAATGTTTATAGCTTTGCAGTGGGAATCAAAAATCTGCATTAGGCTTGACCGTACTTTTCCGTTTTATTTATTCATGGAGAGATTATGCAAGAGCCGTGAAGAGGGTGTGTGGATAAGATCCAAAATCACTCAAACAGGAGGAGGGTCACAATCTCATGGTGAGACATGATGTGTTAGATGGATCAGCTGCCCACGGAGCACACCCCACAACCTATCCCATCTGTGCATTGGGAACACCTCTCATGGTTGTCGGGGGAGATGTTCCTAGTGCACGGAGGAGATGGGCTGTGGGCAGCTAATTCGTACACATATTGATATACAATAGCATAGACCTGGCAAAAAGTTGACCCAACTTGTGAACTGAACCCAACCCAACCCGGAAAAACAGGGTTAGGGTCTCATATTTAGCTACCCGAATGTGAAAATGATCCGACTCGATCCAACCCCAAAAAAGCTGGGTTGGGTTGGGTCATGGGTCAACCCGCTGACCCAATTGTCAAGTCTAACTGAGATTATTTATGCATTGTTAGAAGTTTCTACTCTTTAATTTTTTCTATTGTCTTTACTTTTTATTGTTTACTCTTTAAATTGTTAAATGTTCAAATTTTTTATTTTATATTTCGAATTTTAAGGTTAATTCTTTTAATTTTGACATTTTTCATATAACTTTTCTTTATTTTTTTTTAAATTTCAATTATTTTTTGGATGACCCGAATTGACCCATGGGTCAAACCTAACCAGAATTTAAGGTTAGGGACTAGCATTTGATAACCCAACCCGAAGCCCAAACCGACCCGAAATCAACCCAAAGTAGTTTAGATTTGCTCTCAACACCATCCCAATAAATCTATTACAATTATACATCAGAAATATCTCCCCATAATGATAGAGTCCAAATTTGCTCCTCAAACCAAATTCACAATATATCCTAACCGCACATTGGAAACATATTCCATACTTGTATGTTATTCAGGAGAGATGTTCTTAACACATGTGGGATATGATGTGAGATTGGTATGATTTGCGATGCCTCACAGCCACAACAACTCCCATGAATGGTAACAAACAACAATGGGAGATGTTCCTAATGTGCGGCTAAAATGTGCTGTAAAGAGCATTTACGAATAGATCTAGACTCTGATTTGTGATCTCTGAGGAGCAAATCCCGATTCTGCCCAGTTCAAATCTATTCCTCCCAAAGCACTCCTCACGTCGACCTCACAGCATGTATCAACACATAAGAAACATCTCCCAAGTCGAGTTGCATGTTATTATCCCAATTCGAGTTGGGATCCACTCTGGTCGAATTGGGATCTCATGCCAATAAAATACCTTCCAACACCCTACCAACATGATCTCCGCACATCTCGGTGTTGGAATGTATTTTGTTGGTAGAAGATCCGGACTCGCTTTGATGTCTGAAACCTTGTACAGCTGACAAGTTGTACGGGCCCCACGCTCCCAGGGCCGTATTATACGATGGTGACGGGTAGTTGATGGCCTTCACGTTCCATTCTGGCAAGCGAGAAATCTCCTACCACCAGTCACCACGAGTAACTCCTTGAATTAAACGTAATCATGTACGGTGTAAAGTGTTAACACGACGACCAAAGCGGTAGAGTCCAGATGTTTCTTTTTCTTTCTTCGTCGGTCTTCCTTGCTCCATAGACTTCGCGACTCCAGTAAGCGAACGTCAGAAGATTCAGAACTACCGCCATCTGTTTGGCGGGTGTCTCCGTTCTTTCCTACCAAGGAATTATCCACTAAGCTGAGGACTTTATTACTTTTATTTCGATCCTTGCCTTTGTCTTTCATCACTGCAAATCATTTAAAAGCTGAGGAAAAGGTAATTCGCTTCAGATTCCTGATTTCGGCCAATGATTCCATCCAATCATTTAATTTCTGTTTTTGGATTTCTGGTCAGAAACTGGTTTATCGGATTCAAATTCATATTTTGTAAATTTACTTTTTTGACTATATTTAATTGTACACGCGAATGATATAAATTTCTATGTGGAGATTCTGTTTGTATTCTGAATTTCTTCTCTATACAAAATTCTAGTTGCTTCACTCATCCTCTCCCTTTCTGAATCTTTGATCCGAATAGATTATATTAGAGCCAGCTCTTCTTAACTAGTGACGAACGGAGGTTCGTAATTTTAGCCTTTTAGGTAGAATTTCCACTGTTTTTGTTATTGACTATTATTTTTTTTAATAATTAAAACGTCTACAGCAAACTGGAGTTAGTTTCATGTTCTTGTTTTGGACGTGGGAGTTTTTCTTTTATTTGATCCCTGATAAAACTCATCTACTCTAGAACTCTGCACTGTCATGTTCTTCATACTTTTGATCTTCTTGTTTGCGTTTTATATTGGCATTTGGCGAGCTATTAGTTTAGCATTCTCTTTACTTACTGCTTTTCCCCCATTCTACAAGGGTGTGGTTGCTTGAAATACTGGTAGATGTGTTAGGAAAGACTCTGGCATGGAAGACCAATGTCATTATTCTTTGTATCGGGATGCTGTGCACAGGATTGATGGTTGATTTAGTGTTGCAGTTTTAGTCCTAGGTTGAACCTTTTTCGGCATGCGGGGTCGTCAAACTTCATGGGAAGCTTACTCGATGTACAAGCGGATGCCGTCGAGAGACTATACGAATTCAGCAGACAGAGTAGAAAATCCAGGTGCTTGTAATTTCTCGTTTCTTAACACCATTAATGGTTCTTTCCCTTCACTGTTTTTGATCTGCCCACTGTATAAAAAAGAAAAAGGTCGAGATTCCACATCATTTTATTGTGGTGCTTCCATTTTTTTGCCTGTATTACAGATTGCAGAAAATAGTTATCGTTCACCAAGTTTATCATTTCAGTGATAGACTTGAGAATCTAGGAGTCAATTGTGATTCTTTGGTGATGTAGCACTAAAGTGCCTCCTGGGATATCTCTTCTCTCTCTCTCCCTCTTCCTCTCTCACTTTCTCTCTCTCTTTTTATTTATGTTGAAGTAGTTTCTTAATGATATTTAGCTTTTTCTTATTCATGTGTTGGGGTTATTCTTGAAAAGTAGCAAACGTATTGGAGAAGTGGTTGCTTCCCCACAGAAAAGTAGAGTTTGGATTTAGATCTGTATATGTTTAGTTTGGGATGATACATGACTAATTTTTTCTATTTTTTAGCTCATTTGCAGAATGGTATGGAGCCAGAAGCTACAAACCCTTCCTGGAGGCTCTCTTTGCCACATGTACTTGTGGCAACCATCTCTTCATTCTTATTTGGCTACCATCTTGGGTCTGTTGAGCATGTTCACAACCTCAGTTATCATCTTTTGATTTTTATATTCTAGTTTTTTATTTGTGGTTTTAATTCTTCTTCTAAGAATCGTTAAATTGGTGGTGTTTGGTTTTGCTAAATACAGTGTAGTTAATGAACCACTTGAAAGCATTGCTGTGGATCTTAATTTTGGTGGTAATACCCTGGCTGAAGGTACTTACTGCAATGAATCTGTATTGTTTGCTTACTGGGTTTTTATTTGCATTCAGATTTCTGTTTCAGTGGTCTGTTTTAAAAGTTTCTCTACCCTCTGTTAAATAAAGGCCTAGTTGTGAGTACATGTTTGGGTGGTGCCTTTGTTGGATCTCTACTCAGTGGTTGGGTTGCTGATGGTGTTGGGCGCCGCAGGGCCTTCCAGATTAGTGCTTTGCCAATGATAGTTGGGGCTTCTCTGAGGTATAATTGTGAACTGACAAATAAAAATGCACTTTTTCTTTATTTTTTTTATATAGGTTATACTTATGGTTTTTGTTTAGTAAGAACTAAATGGAGCTTTATTTGATAACTGGAAAATGCATTTATTTTTATTCCAAAATATGTCGTTTTATATTTCTTGTTTGTGCATCTTTGCACTTGTTTACTTGTGGAGTTCCTACACCTCTTAGTGGGTGAAGCTTTGGGCCATATGTCAAATCTTCCTTAGAAGTCTTATTGATATTACTGCATTTTTTGTATCTTTGTTGAGTGTCATTTTTTCTTTTTTTTTCGGTAGTTGGCTTCATTTGTCCATCTGTACCTACTAGTGGTGAAGTATAGTAGTTTTTCTCTTTGTATTATACTTGTTTTGGCAAGACAGCTAGGAATAGTATTGCATGGACTCTCCTAAAGTGATGGCATCTTCGTGTCTGATGCATGTCAAATTCTGAAAGTCCATGGATTGTTGAGGGGCACTTATACATGACATTTCCTTCTTATTTCATAGCTTATTTTACCTAAATGAATGTAAAATGGAGAATATCCATCTCTCATGACATCATTATCATCCATGCCTTATCCCAACTATATGGGGTCAGCTACATGAATCCAGTTTCGCCAATCTGTTTTATTTAAAGCCATATCCACTGTTAAATTATCAGTGCTTAAATCATTTCTTACTACTTTTACCCATGTCCTTTTTGGTTTACCCTGAGCTACTAGCCCCTTCAATGCGTAACAAATCACTTCTTCTAACTGGCGCAGTTGGTGGTCTTCTATGCACATGACCAAACCATCTTAATCTACTCTTGCTTATTTTATCACCTATTGAAGTTACTTCTAGGTTCCTATGGATAACTTCATTCCTAATCCTATCCTTTCTAGTTTTTCCACTCATCTATCTTAGCATTTGCATTTCTACCACTGAATATCCATCTTTCATATCAAACATTATTTAGTAACGAAGACAACATTGTAGATCCCTTTGTTGGTGTATAACGTTAGAATTTTTTTTTGAGGAAAATGTAACATATATTAAGAGGAACACATGTACATGAGGGGATGTAAAGCTAAAACAAATAAACAAAGAGCCCCAAAAAACAAAAAATCAGGACATCACACTATTGCTATACAATTCATTTCTGTGCACCCCAGCCTTAGCTAAACTATCAATGACAGAATTCAATTCTCTTGGGATCCAACGAAGAGAAGAGCAAGATAATGAGCTTCAGTCAGAAAGTGACTAAGTCTCCACAGCCCTCTATCCTGAGTCCCTAACCAGTTTATGACAATGGCTGGATCTCCCTACACCAAGAGTGGAGATATGCCAAGCTGAAAAGCAATTCACAGACCCGTAGAGCTGCTAGAACTTCTGCTTTCACAATATTGGCGACTCCAGTTGGACCACTGAAGGCCCACAGAACCTCTCCCTATGAAAACAAAACGCCACCATTGCTTGTGGGCCCTGGGTTGTCAAAAGAGCTTCCATAGAAAAAGAAGATGAACTTCAGTCCAACTTGCAATGGTATATAATGTTAGAATGCAAAAGTTATAAACCACTTTAGTGTCAGCTCGAGAAAGAGAGAGAGAGCAGAGAGAAAGACAAAAGTCCAGATCTGTCAGGGTTGATCAATCTGATCGAACCAACCCAGAAAAGATGTATTTATATTAAAATTATGTGAATAGACAAGACTGTCCTTACAAAGAGAATAAAAAGATATGTACACTAAAGTACACGCCTATTATTGTACAAGAAAGAAAAAATAAAGTACAGAACAATAGAATTACAAAACTACCCTTCAGTAGTTCTTCTACACTCCCCCTCAAACTGATGCTGGGGTAGAAGCATCAGTTTATCAACAAGGAAATTATATCGGGCTTTGGTGAAGAGATCCGAAAGCTGTAGACCCGATGAAACATGTGGGAGAGAGATGTGACCCGCATGAAGAAGGTCACGAATGAAGTGACAATCCACCTCAATATGTTTAGTTCTCTCATGAAATACAGGATTGGTTGCAGATGCAAATCAGTCCTCAAATATTAGGTGTAAATTTGAAGATTAGAAGAAAAAGGAAGAAGAGAAGTAAGAGCAGCAATACAAGAGAAGAAGATGGTGAAAAGAGAAGGAAGAAGAAGAAGAAATCGAATCATCTCTCCTTTCTCCTCTAACCCTTTTTTTATTAAGAATTAAAGTTAGAGTAATGACAAGTATGCCTTTAAGTGGGCGGCCAGCTAGGCAGTAACATAAAGATATTAAACAAAAAAGAAATAACAGGCCCATTAAGGGAGGCCCATTAGCCAACACTAAAAGAAAAGATATTACAAGAGAAGATACTAGGGCCCATTCAGCCCAGTCTCTTTACAGTTGCAATCTTGATTGCACTCATGTTGTCTGCAAACAGAGGAATAGTAGATGAGTGATCAATATTCATGTCATGAAGGAGTGCCTTAAGCCAGATTATCTCACTATAGACTGAAAACATGGCTCTGTACTCGGCTTTAGTAGATGGCTTGGAAACCGTTTGTTGTTTGTTGCATTTCCAAGAAATCAGAGAATCACCAGGGAATATACAACCGGCCCAGTCAACATCTGCATAAGCTCGGAGTTGTGTGGATGAAGAGGATGAGAAAAATAGGCCATATGAGAGTGTGCTCCATACATAACGAATAATTCGGAGAACTGCCGAATAGTGAGGCTGACGTGGAGCTGAAACAAACAGACTCACAATCTGAACCGCATAGGAGATGTTAGGTCTAGTCATGGTGAGGTAGATAAGACTACCTACAAGCTGTCTATACAAAGTAGCATCAGGAAGAAGGTCACCCTCATCTTTACTCAACTTACAATTGTTAGCGTAGGGGTATTTCTGTCTTTATACATTGATTGATGTTGATGATTTGTAGTGTTGTGTTGGAACATGTGCTCTTAACTTAAGTAAGGGCACATAGGTYTTTTCAGTCATGTTTTAATAATAATATAAATACTTACTGGCCGACTGGGAGAAGTCAAGTTGATTCTATCAGTTCGAACCAGAATTCTCTCTTCTCTCTTTCTCTCTCTCTCTCTCTCTCTCTCTTTCTCTATCACCTTTTCTTCTTCTACATAACTGAACTCAGTCAGGCTGAATTCTAAGGCAGACCTGAATTATAACAACAATTAAGTTCCAGAGGAGTATCAACATGTTTAGAATCAGTCAAGTGAGCAAGAGACACCAAATCAAAAGCATATTTCTGTTGGTTGACAAAGTAACCCTGATGACATCTTTGAATTTCAAGTCCAAGGAAGTATGTGACTGGCCCAAGATCTTTCATTTTGAATGAGTTACTAAGTAGGAGTTTGAGATTGGTAATACCATCCACATCATCTCCAGTAATAAGGATGTCATCAACATATACCAAAAGAAGAGTTAGTCCCTGAGCCCGCTTGAGAGTGAAGAGAGAGTAGTCTGAAGCACTTTGCTGAAAACCAGCTTCCAACACTACTGTACGGAAGCGATCAAACCAAGCTCTTGGAGCTTGTTTAAAGCCATATAAAGATTTCTTCAGTTTACACACCAACTGAGGATTGTCACAGTAGCCGGGAGGTGGTTTCATATAAACTGTCTCCTGTAACTCTCCATGGAGGAAGGCATTCTTAACGTCCATCTGATGAATTGTCCACTGTTTGAGGGCAGTAATGACCAAGAGTAAACGGACTGTTGTCATTTTAGCCATAGGTGCAAAAGTTTCATCATAGTCAATTCCATACTCTTGTTTGTATCCTTGAGCAACCAGACGGGCCTTATATCTGTCCAGAGTACCATCACATTTGAGTTTTACAGTGTAAACCCACCGACTACCAATTATGTAGGCACTTGGAGGAGGAGAGACAAGATCCCATGTGTCATTTTCCAATAGAGCTTGAACCTCTGAATCCATAGCTTCTTTCCAATGCTTTACTGCTATGGCTTGGCTGTAAGACTTAGGAATATCTGTGGATGACAAAACAGCAGAGAAGGAGCTATGATTCAAAAAGAAGCCATAGCGATCAGGTGGACGAGAAATATGAGATGACCGACGCAAAGGAATAGATGAAGGTAAATCCTCAGGAGGAGAATCTGCACTTACAGTAATGGTGGATGGAGAGGAATGACCAGACATTGTTGCTTGAGATGGAGGAGGCATAGGCAATGGGCGAACTGGATGCTTCCTGAAGTACGTCTGAAGAGGCTGAAGAGAAGGAGAATCACCTGTAGATCCAAAATCATGCAGAACAGAGATGGATGGTGCAGGTAATTTACAAATATGTTCAAAGAATGAGAGATTCTCAAGAAATATGACATTACGAGAAATGCACAATTGACGGACTTTGGGATCATAACAAGGAAATCCCTTGTGTTCCGTACTGTATCCCATGAAAGCACACATAGCTGATTGAGCTGTTAGCTTTGTGCGTTCATGGGGAGGGAGATGGACAAAGCAAACACATCCGAAGACACGAAGGGTGGATAGGTTTGGTGGACAATGAAATAAGGGGAGCATGTGAATCTTGTATCAAGGACCTCACCATACTAGCAATATGACGGTTCTTGCGCTTCGATACTCCATTCTGTTGAGGAGTACCAAGACAAGATCTCTGGGACTGAATGCCATGTTGTTTAAGGTAGGTTTGAAACTCACCATCCTCACCATCATAATACTCTCCCCTTGAATCTGACCTCAAAATATTTATGATGCTTTTAAACTGGGTCATTACCATAGCATGAGAGTTTTAAAACATGGAGAAGACTTCTGATTTCTTTCGAAGAAAGTAAACCCATGTGTAATGAGTACAGTCATCAATGAATAATACAAAGTACTTATAACCCAAGCGTGAGATGACTGGAGACGACCACACATCACTATGAATGAGATAAAAAGGTGTAGATGCATGTTTAGTAGAAGATGGAAAAGGTAAAACATGACTTTTACTATAGCAACAAGTTAAACAAGATTTATCACTATTCTTGATTGAGGTAGTATTCAAAGGTAAACAGCTAGAGGAAAACAAATAATCCAAATTCTTAGCATGAGTGTGGCCCAAACATCTATGCCATAGATGCCACACATTATTACATGAAGAAATAGAAGAACAAGGAGAAACAGATAGCAAACAAGAATCCGGTGAAGATCTCTTAGTCTCGAATTCCAAAGCAAACAGCCTCCCAAGCCTATGCCCCTTCCCCTTCAGCTCCCCAGTGTGTTGGTCCTGAATGAAACAACCATCACGAGTAAATAAAACATTATTACCATCATCAACAAGTTGTTCAACAGATATTAAACTAGTAGTCAATTTAGGGACAAAAAAGGTTTTGGGAAGATGAAAGGGTTTGGTCTTAGAGGTGGATAAGAACAAATCATTACAACCATATATAGGTAAAGAATCACCATTGGCAGTAATAATATGGCTGTCAAAGGATCTAGGTTTAGGAGAGTGACCAAAGGAGGGCCCAGTCATGTGATTTGAGGCCCCTGAATCAATAATCCACATGTGACACGGAGATGAACACATAAAAGCAGACTTACCAGCTAGACCAAAAGCAGAAAAAGTAGAAGAAATAGCTGAAGACATAAGCTCACGGATCCTTTCTTCAGTCAGATTTCCCTGGGCATCTGATTTGTGGGCTGATGATGAGGTGGCAGCATCAGTGGTAGCAGATTCGGTTGAGGCCTGATAAGCCTTATGCTTTCCTTTCTTAAGAGGCCTAGTTGGACATTCCACAATGATATGTCCTTGTTGTTTGCAGTAAGTACAGAAGTTCTTCTTCTTGCAGTGGGATGCCACGTGACCATATTCTTTGCATTCATAACACTGCAACTTTGAGAAGTCTTTTTTACCCTTCTGCTTGGTGGCTAAGAACACAGTATCAATCCCATGTTCCTTCTTCTGATCAAGTGCAGATAAAGTAAGAAGACATGTTTCCTCCCGTAACAACTCTCCAAGAATTGCATCTAGTTCAGGGACTGGTTCTCTACTGAGAGTGCTGGAGCGTAGAGTTTCTTAGTCAGGCCTGAGATGCATCAAGGAATGCATGGTCTTCCTCTTAGTAAGATGTTTCTTCATGGTCTTCACACAACAATCTGTAGAAAGTTCCCCAAAGTGAGCCAGTTCATGTTCAGTCCAAAGGTTTATAAATCCTGCATAGTATTCCTGAATCCTCTTCTCCCCTTGAACATAGGAGAAGATATCGATTTCGATCTGAAATTGCCTAGACATATTTGATTGCTGATATACCTTTTCTAGGTATTTGAACATGTCATGGGCAGATTTGAGACCTCTCATCGGGATGTTGACATCCATTGAGATAGACCCAAGTATCCATGATGTAACCTGAGTATTTTCGGTTCTCCACTATTTCAGTCCTTTGACATCACTTGCGTCAGGCATGGAAGTGGAACCGTCAATGTAACCCCACATGCCTTTCCCTTCAACAAAGTACTGAAAATGAAATTTCCAGAGAGCATAGTTACTCCCATCAAACTTGACGGAAATGAATTCGCTATTTTCCAAAGCCATACTGAACAGAAAATAAGTGAAGACAGATCTAATCGAGCAGCAAGGAAGTAATAAAGGTATGAGAATCAAATAAACTGATAATAGAATCCTCTTACAGTCACCAGAAATCATCCAAGTTTCAGCAGAAGACAAAAACTTGAAACACAGTCCAGAAAAGGAAAGTCTGGGTGCAGCCGCCCATAAGAGATGTATAGATCTCTCTCAAATCTTCTCAGATATCAATGATATTTTCAGAATATGATGAGAGGGCCTAGGCGACACTTCCTTTCAAATCTCACTGCAAACTAAAGTCGTATGAGAGAGATCTAATAAAATCTCTCATAGGATTCGCAAAGCAGAGAAAACTGATCTCTGGATAGATCAAAACAATCCAGATTCAATCGGCAGTAACAACAGATGTCACACTAATCAAAGAGAGGAGAAAAGGATCAGAGAGTAGCCTGCTCTGATGCCATGTCAGCTCGAGAAAGAGAGAGAGAGAGCAGAGAGAGACAAAAGTCCAGATCTGTTAGGGTTGATCAGTCTGATCGAACCAACCCTGAAAAGATGTATTTATATTAAACTTATGTGAATAGACAAGACTGTCCTTTCAAAGAGAATAAAAAGATCTGTACACTAAAGTACACGCCTTTTATAGTACAAGAAAGAAAAAATAAAGTACAGAACAGTAGAATTACAAAACTACCCTTCAGTAGTTCTTCTGCATTTAATTGTATATTCTACTCCATAAACATTTTTTTGAGTCCGCTTTTTCATATATTGCCAAGTTAGACTCTTGGGCATGTGTTGGATTCCAACTTGTGTCCATGCAACACTGGCTAGAAATTATAACAGTTCTTTTGACTTCAATAATGCATTGTAAGATGTAATAATGCTCACATTGTTTAAAATATGCTAGCTTCATGTTGTGGAGATCTAATTCCAATTTACTTCTTGTTTCCGTTACCTAGGGGTCCTCTTTTGTTTGATAGACTTGTATGTTTTCTTGGTGTGATGGTAAAATCTAGGGATGACAAATGTGAGAATGTGACTCTGAGTTTGATAATGGATATCTTGTGCAAAATGGCAGAAGTTAGGTCTTCATGTAGTCCTATCCCCATTGCACAATTTCTTGGTGCAATGGTAAAATCTTGGGATGACATGCTTGTGAATGAGGTTTGAGTTTGAGAGTGGTCATCTCATGCAAAATGCCAGAGGTTAAGTCTGTATCCAATCCACCCTTCCCAAGACCCTGGATAGCTGGGGCCAACATTGGTAATGACATTCTTCTACTACATGTCAATGACAAATTCCTGTGCATATGGTTATTGAATAGAACTACGAAAAAGTATAAGACAAGAGATTGATTTGTAAATCTAGTGGTCTTAACATTTAAACCATATAATTAGTCTGTTTTCTGCCAACCATGTTTTTGCAGTGCATCAACAAAAAATATTGAAGGAATGCTTCTTGGAAGGTTGTTAGTTGGAACAGGGATGGGTCTTGGTCCAGCTGTTGCGGCTCTCTATGTGACAGAGGTATAAAGAATGGTTTTCTGTTGCTTGAATGATGTTTTGGGGGTCCATAAATGATTTTAACACTTCGTTCTCCTTATCTTCCCTTATATACATTGGCAGGTTTCACCTTCTTTTGTGAGGGGTACTTATGGCAGCTTTATTCAGATTGCTACATGCCTTGGGCTTATGGGGTCTTTGTTCATTGGAATACCTGCAAAAAGAATTGTGGGCTGGTAGGAAATAGGAATGTGAAATTAAAATCTGAAACTTTTGATGATCATTTTTGTACTTTTCTCCTCTGTTTACATGCATATGGTATAGACTTTTGTAACCTCTAAAAAATGTTTTTATTTCTTTGACATGTTCTCAGGTGGCGAGTTTGTTTCTGGGTATCTTCCATTCCTACTGTGGTACTTGCTCTCTGTATGGAATTCTGTGCAGAAAGTCCTCATTGGCTTTACAGGGTCATTTTCTTCACTTGTCAATTTCTTGCTTGACTTCCCCCATGTATGCTAGACAATTGATGCAAATGTCACCCATATCAATTATACACTGCCAATCAGAATTTCTAATTGCATCCCAAGCATCCATGGATCCCATCTGACCTGAGTCTATGACCTACTTCCATGGAACTATCATGTACTCTAGAAAGTGCTTTGGACTGTATTAAACCTCTCCAAGTTTCTATACTGAATCTTAAAAATTCTTGTTTAAGTTCCTACTCTGTCCTTAACATAACTGTTATCCTGTTCTTCTACTGATTTTTAAGTCAATTAGGTTCTTTATATGTGCAGTAAGATTCTCTCATTTCTTACCATAGAGACTGCAATACACTACTTCTGATCACACAGTCATGTGCAGGAAAGATACATTGAAAACTAACTGAAGAAGTAATAGTCAGCCTTAATGCATATGCAAATATCCTGAAACGAAATTTATGTTTAGATGAATGATTTTTGTTTTCATAAACAGAAGTATCTGTGTAACTTATAGCAGGAAAGAGGATTAAAAGTTGAAGAGACACAACATAAAAGATATAAAGATATACTTTTTTTTTTGATAGGTAAGATATATTTATTTTGTTCTCTCTATATTAATCATAGCTTAAAGGTGTCCCAGTGTTAAAATTTCAACCCTATACGGTTACTATGTTACTGGCACTGCACGAGGGGTAAATTTTGTATCACTTGATAAAGGGAAAGACTCTCATTGGATTTCTTCCTGTCCCACCAAACATGCACATTGACAAAGTGTTGAAGGATGCAAATATGGGAAATGCTCTTTAAGGGATTGAATAGGATAAGGATACCTGGTTCTGTTTCATATTAAAGAATCAACAGTTCAATATGGAATATAATATTATTTGGTTAGGAATTTACAGATCATGAAACACACTGTATTGCTTCTATAATATGTATGAAGGAAATATCTAATCCATGTATACAGTCATTAGATTTGTGCAAGCAAGTGGATTATGTTGATCAGGATTTTCTTGACCATCCTATACTACATTTATTAAATCTGATATGAAAACCAGATTAATATAGTATTTGGCTAGGAATTTACAGATCATGAAACACACCGTATTGCTTCTACAATATGTATGAAGGAAATATCATCAGATTTGTGCAAGCAAGTGGATTATATTGTTCAGGATCTTCTTGACCATCCTATACTACATTTATTACATTTGATATGAAAACCAGATTAATATAGTAACCTTAACCATTTATTCAATTTAGATGAGAAATCTCTTAAATCGATGCTTTTATATTTGTTTTTTACTATTTATACATGTAAAAACTTTAGTCGAATGCTTTTTAACAAACACATTTTAATTTTGGTTGATAAGCAATACCTAGTGTTGAGTTTGGGCCGATTTTAAGTTATTGGGCCCAGCTTTGTTTTATTTTTATTTAAGTTATTCAGTTAGGAAGTTATTGGGCCTTAGGCCCATTAGTTTATGTTATTTTAAGTTGTGACTGTTCAGCTACTTAAAGTAGCTGCCCTACTAAGGGTATCTTTGTAATCTTTCATTCTTTTATTTTAAGTATATAAATCAAGAGGGGTTGGCGGCTAGACCTAATTTCAATTCTGGCGACATCCCACTCTTTTTTCTTCTTCTTCTTCTTCTTCTCTCTCTCTCTCTCTCTCTTGCTGAAACCTTTCAGCTTCTACTACTTTTCTTCACAAAGCATACGTAAGAATCAATTATCAGCAATTTCTACTTGGTATCAAAGCAGGCCGAAGGTTTCTTGAGCTGCTCTATCATGCAGCCCTAGATCGTCCGACTGCATGGTGATATGAGAGGCTGATCGAAGACCTTAGGTAAGCCCAGTTTTTGGATTTTTTTATGAATCTGTTTTACCCTGTAGCTGGTCTAGGGTTTCCCATCAAATTCAGGAAGAGCTGGAAAAAGGGGAAGAGTCTTGTTTTTGTAGGACTCTTCAATTTTGACCTAGGAAGTGGCGCCCTAATTTTTTAGGGTCCCTTGGAGTTTTCTGAAGGAGGCGGTTCAAGTTCCACTTGTTTTGGAGGCCTCTGGAGGGAGCAACTGCTTCTTCTCTCTCTTCTCCCGCTCTCACAAAAAGGGAATCTTTTGTGGGAGGACCATCTAGGGTACTAGAAGGGTGTCTGTGGTGCCTGAAGGGAATTATCTCATATTTCTTCATTTTAAAGTGATTTTCTAACCCTTTTTTTGGGGATTAACGGAGGGCCACAAAGCTAAAAACAAACTGGGGAGTGAAATGGAACAAGGGGGAGGAGGTGTTGGAGACCTTTTCGGGGCTGGAACCATCACTATAGTTAAGTTAGATGGTACAAACTATTTAGAATGGTCACAATCTGCAAAGATGGCCATTGGTGCTTGTGGGAAGTTGGGGTATATCACTGGTGAGGAAGTGAAACCCAAAACTAACTGCTCCCAATGGGTACAGGAAAATTATATGGTAATGACTTGGTTGTGCAATTCTATGCTGCCCCATATAAGTAAAAACTTTTTGTGGGCAAATACAACTAAGGAAATTTGGGAAGGGGTTGTAGAAACCTATTCACAAAGTGAGAATGTTGCTAGGGCCTACTAGTCGAGGAGCCAGGTTATTGCTACCGGACAGGGAGATAAACCTATTGTTGTTTATTTTTCGGCCCTAAAAACCCTATGGCAGGAGATAGACCATTTGGAGACAGTGGTTTGGGAAAGTAGTAAGGATGCAGCTGCCTACAAGAAGCTCTTAGAGAAGAATAGAGTCTTTGAATTTCTTGCTGGTCTTAATCCCGAATATGACATTGCAAGGCAACATATCCTTTCCAGGGATAGTGTTACTCTCTCTCAGGCATATGCCTTTGTATCAGAGGAAGAGAGTAGGAGGAATGTGATGATGAAGAGTTTGGGTCTTGAATAGTCATCTATGGTTAGTACTGTGAAACCTAAACAAAGTGGAGATTTGGGGTGGCAGTGAAATCAGGAAGGAAGATAAGAGGGACTTGATCTGTGACTACTGTAAGAAGCCTAAACACACGAGAGATACTTGTTGGAAGCTTCACCCTCACCTTGTGCCGAATAGACTCAAAAACAAGAAGGGAAATGTTAATATGGCAGCAACCGGTGACTTACCGGGGCCCCCTACTACAACTACTTTGGAGTCTATTGCAGCTGTTGTGGTGAGGGCCGAACTTGATAGATATGGGTAGTTACTTAATCAGCGAGGTACAGTCATCCCTAATTTGTTATTAGGTGGACAACTAGGTACAGGTGGATCTGGTGGTGGACATTCTACTTCCTTTGCTCATATAGGTAGTTCACATGCCACTACAAACTATGTTTCTACTATAGGTAAGGAGGGACCTCCTTGGATTATAGATTCTGGAGCCTCAAAGCATATGACCCATAGTTCCACTATTTTCTCCGCTTACCAACTCTGCTCTGGTAGAGACAGAGTTTCCACAGCCAATGGATCCCATGTTCTCATTGCTGGGAAGGGGTCTGTCAAGATAACTGGTTCCATTTCCCTACCCTTTGTCCTCCATGTACCCAGATTGAGTACTAACTTGTTATCTGTTAGTAGTTTGACTAAGAACTTGAATTGCTTAGTGATTTTTTCTCATGGTCATTGTGTTTTGCAGGATCTGGTTTCAAAGAGGACAATTGGGAGTGGTTGTGAGGTGAATGGAATTTACCTTTTGAATGCGCTTCCAAATCATCAAAGTCATCATGTTAGCAGGGATTTTGAGTCAGAGTCTGTAGGTCAGATTATGCTTTGGCATAATCGTTTGGAACATTTGTCTTTTCCTTCTTTCGTTTCTTATTTCCATTCATCCTTATTTTTCCTAAGGGGGAGATGTCCCACATTCTTCTCAGGGTTTTTGGTTGTGTTTGCTTTGCTCATGTTCTTGGTCCTCACCGCTCGAAGCTTGACCTGAAGGCAAAGAAGTGTGTTTTTCTTGGGTATGCAAAAAATCAGAAAGGGTACTGTTGCGATGACCCAATCTTTGGGAGTTAGTATGTTACTATGGATGTCACCTTTTTTGAGTCCACATCTTTTTTCCCAAAGGGTTCTTCTCAGGGGGAGTGTTTTGGGGAAGGAAGTGAGCAGTCTATTCCTCTTCTGGTTCCAGTCCCTGTGTTCACTCCTGCGTCTGTCCCTCCTATGTCTCCTACCTTACCACCTCCCTTGCGTCCTGTTTCTCAGTGCTACTCACGACATCGCCTTTACAGGGAGGTTGATTCCACTGTAGAAGAACCCACATCACTTCTTATCAGTTCTTCGGAGACTCCAGATTCGGCTGACACTGACTCAGGTATTCCTCTTGATCCCTCTGATGCTTCAGTTCCTATTGATTCCACTAACCCCATTACAGATGACCTGGACCTTCCTATTGCACTCAGAAAAGGGAAGAGAAAGTATACTGCTCATTGTATCTCACGGTATCTCTCCTACAGTGGACTTTCTCCTTATCGTGCCATTCTTTCTTCCCTCGACTCTGTGTCTATACCCAAGGGTGTCAAGGAGGCTCTCCAAACCTGAGTGGAAGATAGGTATGCAGGAAGAAATGGCAGCTTTAATTAAGAATCAGACGTGGGAGATTGTGGATCTACTAGAGGGCAAGGAGACTGCTGGATGCAGATGGGTTTATATAGTTAAATACAAGGCAGATGGAAGCATAAGGCTAGACTGGTTGCAAAAGGGTACACTCAAACCTATGGCATTGATTACTTAGAGACCTTTGCACCAGTTGCAAAAATGACTTCTATTCGAATCCTTCTCTCTCTTGCCGCTACATACTCTTGGCCCCTTTTCCAGCTTGATGTAAAAAATGCCTTTCTTAATGGGGGCCTACAAGAAGTATATATGGATCTTCCTGTTGGTTTCTACAGTGATGCTAAAAAGGGGAAGGTATACAGATTGAAGAATTCTCTTTATGGTTTAAAACTGTCTCCCAGAGCGTGATTTGACAGGTTCAGGAAAGCCTTGATTGTTTTTGGCTATACTCAGACTTAATTAGACCATACTTTGTTTGTGAAGCGGAGGGGGTCCCTGGTGTCAGTTCTGATAGTTTGTGTGGATGACATTGTAGTTACAGGAAATGACTTGAGTGAGATTGACAGTTTGAAGAAGAATCTGCATATAGAATTTGAAATTAAGGATCCTGGGGAACTGAGGTATTTTTTGGGCATTGAGGTAGCAAGGTCAAAGCATGGAATTTTTATTTCTCAGAGGAAGTATGTTCTGGACCTTTTACAAGAAATAGGGAAACTTGGAACAAAGGCAGCTAGTACTATTGACCAGAATCACAAAATTAATGCATCAGAAAGTGAGTTGGTGAAGGACATTGGGAGATATCAGAGACTAGTGGGGCGGTTGCTATATTTATGTATGACAAGACTAGACATCTCTTATGCAGTGAGTGTGGTGAGTCAATACATGCATGCCCCACGAGTCCAGCATTGGGAGGCTGTTGACAGGATTCTTGCTTATCTAAAGGGACACCCTGGTAGAGGCATACTATTTGCTGACCATGGACTATTTAAGTTAGAGGCTTACATAGATGCTGATTCGGCAGGATGCCTAGATGATAGGAGATCTACATCAGGAGTTTGTACTCTTGGTGGAGGCAATCTAGTTTTGTGGAAAAGTAAGGAACATGCAGTTGTGGCAAGGTCAAGTGCAGAAGCTGAATACAGAGCCATGGCACATGGAGTTTCAGAGCTTCTCTGGATCCATTCCTTATTAGGAGAAATTGGTATAGAGGCAGAAGAACCTATGATGCTGTACTATGATAATTAGGCCGCAATTAACATTGCCCACAACCCAGTTCAGCCTGACAGGACAAAGCACATTGAAGTGGACAGACATTTCATAGGAGAAAGGGTGACCTCAGGGGAAGTTTGTCTTCCATACATTGCTTCTGATTTGCAGCTTGCTGATGTTCTTACAAAAGGTGTTGCAAGAAACAAGCTGGAGCATGATCTACGCAAGTTGGGAATGTGTGACATTTACTCCCAACTTGAGGGGAAGTGTTGAGTTTGGGCCGATTTTAAGTTATTGGGCCCAGCTTTGTTTTATTTTTATTTAAGTTATTTAGTTAGGAAGTTTTTGGGCCTTAGGCCCATTAGTTTATGTTATTTTAAGTTGTGACTGTTCAGCTACTTAAAGTAGCCGCCCTACTAAGGGTATCTTTGTAATCTTTCATTCTTTTATTTTAAGTATATAAATCAAGAGGGGTTGGCGGCCAGACCTAATTTCAATTCTGGTGACATCCCACTATCTTTTCTTCTTCTTCTTCTTCTCTCTCTCTCTCTCTCTCTCTCTCTCTCTTGCTGAAACCTTTCAGCTTCTACTACTTTTCTTCACAAAGCATACATCAGAATCAATTATCAGCAGTTTCTACTCCTAGGTAATGGCTCACCTTGACAGGGCTAAACACCCATAACTCACATGGATACCATGACTACACTGGTGTGGTTTCTTCCTTTGCAAGAGAGTACATTTGTGTCACATATACACTGATATGTGTTTCAATCTATACCTATTAGAATATGTATGTTAATCTATGATACCAAAATTCCTATATGTGGGTAGACGTAGTATTGACATGACATAATATGTTTACTGATGGGAGCAAGGATTAGCTGTTCAGTGGGCTGTGGAACCAATGATAACTCTCCATGCCAATAATAAAATACGTGAGACTCACAACCATTTAATTTCTCACTGTGGGTCCCATGTATTTTATCACTGGCGTGGGGCATTACCATTGGTTCCACAGCCTGCTGAACATCTATTGCATTCAGCTAATCCAAATTCTACTAAAAGCGTCTCTTTGTGTATTAACATGATACAATGTTGTATCAATCTATAAAAGTAAAAAAAAAAAATACATGTGTGGACAATGCATTTTTAATGCATATGACATTCATATCCATGTCTTCCATAGTATTTCTTGAGTAATGGGGAAGGTCAGGTTCCAGAAACATCTGAAAACCTGAAATATATTGGCAATTGGCATTGTGTAAGTGTCTGGATGTGCTTGACATGTGAATATAATATGGTGGTTGACTTGCCAACTTTCATAATGCGGAGTCCTGCAGAGGAACCTACCACACATCACACATACTATCAGCCTTCATGTCATGTTCTTATAGGAATAGAGGATGCTTAAAATTTCTTATATTTTACAGCAAGGACGATATGTTGAAGCTGAAGTTGAGTTTGAGAAGCTCTTAGGTGGGTCACATGTCAAATCTGCAATGGTTGAACTAGCAAAGTCAGACAGAGGGGATGAAACAGAAACTGTGAAGTTCTCAGAGCTGTTTTATGGTCGCCATTTCAGAGGTGCTTATGGTGATAGCGTTCTTAAATATATTTTTGTCCCATATATTTTCTTTTTCTTTTAAAATGCAAGTTTCATAAACTCTTCCTTTTGCAGTTGTTTTTATTGGGTCAACACTTTTTGCTTTACAACAGCTATCAGGAATTAATGCTGTATTCTATTTCTCATCAACCGTCTTTAAAAGTGCGGGTGTACCTTCAGACCTGGCAAACATATGTGTGGGACTTGCAAATTTGTCTGGTATGGATGGCTATAGTCTTAAGTGGCTTGCTTGTTTTTGGTGGAAGTTGGAAGTGTAGAAAGTCCTTTAACTACATGAATTGTTTTCAGGGTCAATCATTGCAATGATTTTGATGGATAAGCTAGGGAGGAAAGTTCTTCTCATGGGGAGCTTTTTGGGAATGGTAAATTGTTTTCAGAAACCATTTTATGAAACTTATCTTCATATACCGGCTGTTGGTATCAGAACCTTGACTCTAACCATTTTGTTTAAAAACCATAATCTTGTCTATGATGCATGTAATGTTTCTGTTCTCTCCATCCATTTCATGGTCCAAAATTCAGAATCTTCTGAGGAAATCAAGTTGTGATGATCATAACCATCTGATTTATGGACTTGTTTCCCCTGACTGTTTTTTTTTTTAACTGTAATGTAAAGTATTTCATTAAAATCAAAAGGGCAAAAAACAATGAAACCTGTACAATGAGAAACTGAACAGAGGATACACAATTCTGCTCAATACAGCCCAATGCCCAATACAGATTAACTTTTCCTCACAAAAAGGAAGTCAAAATCAAAGAAAGAACTAGAATGTCTATTTCTAAATAAAGGGTGAACTGCCAACCATGAATGAGCCATCCCCAGAATTTTACTTAAGATTGCTTCCTTTGGAGCCTGAGTCCCTTCAAACAATATCCTGTTTCTTTCGCACCACACAGCCCATAATACTGCTGAGGGGAGTATGCTCCATGCTATCTTTCCAGCCCTACTTAATCCTTCTAGACACCATGTCTCTATGCCCCTTCACTTCAGCTGGGAATCACAACTTTACATCAAACAAACCTACCATTCTTAACCAGATCCAATGAGTATATTCACAGTGAAACAACAAATGGCCAGACGACTCCACATTTCCATTGCATAAAGGGCAAGCCAAATCTTCCACCTGTAAACCTCTTATGACTAGATTCTGTTTTGTTAGGATCTTATCCAACACTGCTGACCATACAAAGAATAAGCCAGTTTAGAAGGAACAGCTTTAATCCAAACCTTGTCACTTGGAAAGGGAGTGGTGTCCTCCCTTGCTACATATTTGAAAAATGATTTTACAGAAAAACTACTGATTTCTCAAACATCCAACTTCTTTTGTCTTCCCCTATACCAGACGTCTCTGAGTCATATAGAATCTGGAGCAAGCTGATCAGAGAAGTCACCTCCCAATCGTTTAGGTTCCTCCTGAATTGGGGGTTCCACATGCAATATCCATTGTCTTTCCAAATAATCAGCTACAGTTGCATTCTTGTTTGTAGCTATTTCAAACAGATCAGGAAATAAGGACATCAAAGGTCCTTCTTCACACTAATGATCCTTCCAAAAGAGAACCCTCTGGTCATTTCCCACTTTATATTTGATGCCCTTCAGAAACTGAGGCTGTATTTTCCGAATTGCCATCCAGTTTGAACATTCGTAGGCTGATCTGACCTCTTCTGTTTCCCACTCCCTGCTACTAGACCCATATTTGGCCACAATTATCCTTCTCCACAGGCTATTTGACTGATCATTAAATCTCCATACCATAACCATTTTCCAAGCAATGCAGTGTTAACATCTGTCACTGATCTGATCCCTAGTCCCCCATTTGCTTTAGAGCAGCAGATTTTCTTCCAGTTTACCAAGTGACATTTTGATTCTTCCTTCCATCCTCTCCACAGAAAGTTCCTCATTCTCTTTTCAAAAGCTGCTGTCCACTTAGCAGGAATTAGAAATAGAGATAGATAGAACACAGGAAGGGAAGACAGCACAGTTTTAATTAAAGTGACTTTTCCCCCTTTGGACAAGACTTGGTCTTCCATGATGCTAATTTTCTATCCACCTTTTCCAATATGGGCTCCCAGATGGATTTGGATTTGCAATTTTCCCCCTTTGGACAAGTACTTGCTTCCCCTGACTGTTGGGGTGTTATTTGTAACCTCCAAATTGAATTTCAATATTTTAAAGATTGGACCTGTTGAATGGAAGGTCCAACCTATCTATGACATGTATGGTAATCACACGTATAGGTATAAACTACTACTGGTCATATTATCAGAGCTTGACTTCTGAATAGTGCACTGTATTGTTCTCAGAAATCTGACACATCTCTTCTTTATGCATATGCTTGGTCCAGGCAGTAGCATTGGGTCTTCAGGTCGTTGCTGCAAGTTTTCATACATCAGGCTCTGAAGCTTTGTATCTTTCTGTTGGTGGAATGTTATTGTGAGTAAACACAGCCTGGATGTCTCAAAGTTAGTCTTAGAGATCTAGATGTTCTTTTCTTTTTCTATTTGTCTACTAGATACAGATAAATAAGTTCAACAACAAAGCTATGATGGTTAACTTGTAGTTCCTATATCCTTACTGTACAACTATGACATTGCGGGTTTAGTCCCATGTCCACTGAAGGGAAGAGAAAGGGAAAAAGAAAAATGAAGATAGATGGAATTTCATGTTTTTCTTTCACCAACTTGGCTTCAATTTTCTCTCTCTTTTCATTCACCTGAGATCCACTACGTTATAATGACTACTATGCACATACACATACACCTGGTTCAACGAGAAAAAGTAAATTGAAGCTGAGTTGGGAATGAGTCCTTAAGTATATAGATATACCAAAGAGAGGGAAAGTATGAGAAAACATTATAATATGCCATTCTTTACACCCACAACAGCCGTCCAATTGAATAAAAAATCTTACATTCCAAAAGAGCTGAAGTTTGTGAGAGAAATTGACTAAGAAAAAATGATACTACTACCATCTACACACAACTGAGAAGGATTTTTCCTTTTCTAAAAAAATCTCCTATTTCTTTTCTTCTAGATGTTCCAATAAACAGCAGATGAGACCATACTCTCGGGGATACCAACCTCAACAACTGGCCCAGATTCAGTAGCTTTCCAAAGAGTGTGGGGGACCAACCCATAAAATCCATAAAGAAAAAGAGAACTCTCAAAGCAGAGATGACATGGAGCAGTGGAGAAATGGATGATTTACTTACTCTTCCATCCCTTTACAGAAACTTGATCTAGTTGGAACTTGGAATAGGAATGATCATATGATTTAAGATGATTGATCACAAGGACTTTGTCAAGGAAGACTAGTCACATAAACACTTCATTTTTAAGGGAAACTTGCCTGCCTTAAATTCCCCCAACCTCATGATGATTGATTTTACCATGCACGAATGTTGCATAGAAAGAACAACCTGAGAACTTTCCATGGGAATTCTATTTCCACATGATTTCATCCCTTTGATTGGGAAAAATAGGAGCATTCTCAATTCTTTGAAGGAGCATTATGAACTCATTAATTTTTCTGCTTAAAAAGGCCCTATAAAAATGTGGTCCCAAATCACTGAATCATCATGCAAAGAACTACAAGCAATAGTCTTCCTGACTTAGGTAGATACTTTGTAGAGTCTCAGGCATTGCAATGGAGATACTACGGTATGTTGACCAATTATGGACTTGTTTATGCAGGTTTGTCTTAATATTTGCACTGGGAGCTGGTCCAGTCCCAAGTCTCCTTCTACCAGAAATTTTCCCAAGCCGCATTAGAGCAAAAGCTATGGCCATATGTATGTCTGTACATTGGGTAATATTCTCATTCTTGTGTTTTTCTGTTTTTTCTTTTTGGTGTTTTCCTTCTCGTGTGAGCTGAATTTAGAATTTGCACTTGAAGAAGCCCATCCCTGTGAATTGGGATTCCAGTTTAATATTTGTCTTGAGAATCCCGTGTTTAGTTGCAGTGCAAATGAATTTGCACTGATGCAAAACTATGGTGGTGCAAATTATTTAGCTGCAAGTTTTGATTTATTTTTGTTTCAAATTTTACCTTATTTTGTTTGGTTGCATTAAAAATGAAGTAAAATAAGACTTAAAGCAGAATAAACTAAAACCCAAAACAAAATTAAACCAAAATTTGCATTTTTTTTTTCATTTGCATTCCTATACATTTGCAATAGTGCAAATAAAATTGCACTGCAACCAAACACAACTTTGCATGAATTAACTTCATGTTGTGATCCCATAATGGAAGTTCGATTTGATGCAAAGATCATGGCTGAGAAATCAACTAGTTTGGAGTGAATCAAGTTCTTGGGAGCTGATTTTATTTTTTTATTTTTTTATAAATGGGGGGGAGGGGGGGGGGATTGGGATGTGGGGAAAACTATCCTTTGCGATGGTTTCATTGCTTTCATTTTTTTTTTCTGTACTGTACTCATTGGTGCTGATTCACTTGGTGAGAAGCCATTGACAAATTGGTAATTGTGTATTTTTCATCTTCATATATGCATCAACATAATTTTTTTGTAATATGGCATATCCATCAGCTTATCAATCACTTGTATACTTGGGGTGGCTTTTGCAACCGAATGCTCACAGTGGTAATAGGCGCTTATTTCCTCATGCTCTGGATCTTACTCTTGGCTTTCAGGTGGTAAACTTTTTTGTGGGATTACTGTTCTTGCATTTTCTGGAACATCTTGGGCCACAGGTTTTATATACTGTCTTCGCAACCTTCTGCTTGATGGCAGTGGTTTTTGTAAAGAGAAATGTGATAGAAACCAAAGGAAAATCACTCCAAGAAATCGAGATCACACTTCTACCGCAGGAGTAGAGGTATTCATATTTGTTGCAATCAATTAATCGTATTTAACTTTTCCATTCTAGATAGTGATTGCATTTCCAGAATGAAGTTATGGTCTTAAGTTTCAGATGAGAAATATTGTACCCTGTTTTGACCTGTACCATACCACTGTCTTATGATGGACATTCTCAATTATTTTGGCTAAGAATATCTCATACATATAAATGAATTATGCTGATCTGCTGGGAGTTCATGGCCATTATGGAAATATTCTCAAAGAAGTCTGTTCCTGGTTTGTTTGTACTGTAGCATCAGATGCCATCATCTTGTTGGTGTCAACATGGAGCTATACTTGGAGACTTCTGGCAGAAAACTTGGCTATTGAATACTCACCCAACTAGGCTGGTGTAAATTCAGAGAGATTCCGTGTGGATCAATTCTGAGCATCATGATTTTAGTCCTCTTGTTCATATTGCAGCCATCCCTCATTTTGATGAGCACATTGATTCCACAGAATTATATATGGGAATATGCATACGGTGGACCTGGAGATCAGGTCCTCTTGTAATTGTTGTAAGTTTGAATAATATTCATGACATACCTACGGACTCATACATATATGTTTATGTTTTCGCGGAGGGATGGCAGTACTCCAGGGGCCTTAGCAATGAGAGCTGTGTTGATGAGGACCTGTTCTGGTACGTCAAAAAAAAGTAAATGTCAAGCAGGGGAAATGTCTGTCCTTTACGCACAGTTCAGATCCTTCTTAATCCCTGGAATAATGTCTTAGGGTCTATTTGGCTCATGGGAACAGGGGTCTGGAATGGGAATGGCCTATTCTGATTTTAGCTATTTGGTTGGGAGGAATGATATTCCCCCATTTGAAGGAATGGCCATTCCAATTTTCTTCCTTGGCAATAAGAATCTCATTTCTCTTTACTTGAAACCAATCCTCCTTGGGTGTCTTACATATCTTATGAAATTGGATTCCGGTTCCCAAAATAGGCGATTCCGATTCTAGGGGTTTTAGTTGATTCCCTTTTATATCAATTGGTTTGATTTAGAAAAAGGAATCACCCTTAAGCTAATCAGCTTTCTTACCCATTGCATTTTCAAAGTGAACCAGACCCAACAATGATTATCAACTTATAAAAGGAGAAAAAAATGAACTTGATGAAATATTTATTTAAAAAGGTAGAGAAAATGAACTTGATGAAGAAATATTTATTTAAAAGGTAAATTGTTGAAACCTCTCCTTAAGTTTTTCATCATTGCTGAAACCTCCCTTGAAGTTTGGTAATCTCAATCACCTCCCCTGCACTTTTTTTGACAAAGTTGCAAGTAGACTCCCTTCATAAGAATCCTCTAGCAAGAGGCATAAAAATGTCTAAAATGCCCATTTAGTTACTACTGAGGCTGGTTTTTATAGAAAAAAACAATACAAAAAGAGAATTTAAAGTTGCAGTTTTTCCTTTGAGTGATTGATATGAAGGGCAAATTTGAAAAATAAATCAGTTTCAGAAAAGAGACTGGAAGGATTTGAAATAGCATTCATATGAAAAGAAAATTTAGAAAATAAATATTTTGGTTAAAATAACTGCAAGAGCAATTTGGACATTTTTATGCCACTTTTAGAGGATTGGGGTCACTTGCAGGTTGCAACTATATCTTAAAGTTTAGGGGATATGATTGTCATTAACAAACTTCAGGGAGGTTTAAGCAATTTAACCCATATTTGAAAAAGCTGCTTTCCCGTGAAGGATAACTTTATCCATTTGTCCAGTTCGAATTTAAATAATTTGTATCTATCCAATCGGATCCATTGTAATTCAAACCGGATATTGGTTAAGTATATTCCTATATCTACCTAATGTTAATCTGTTTACTAGGAGTCATACATCCCAAGTCTCAAAGAATTTATATGGTATCTGATCTTTTCAGATTTATTTTAGGGAAAATTCCCGATTATTACTCTATACTTTGGGCCTAGTGTCACTTTGGTCTTTGAATTTTCAAATGCGACAATTCAATATCGGAACTTTTAAAACGTGTCAATTTAGTACTTACCGTCAACCAGTTTTAACTAGTCGTTAAATGACATTTGAAAAAGACAAAAATTCCCTTTGAGTGTCATCTAATTTTCTTTATCAACTATCCAAACATTAACAAAAAGAAAAAAATTAACAGTCCTAAATCCTTTTCTTTTATTCAAGAAAGTTGGAGTCACGTATGCCCAGTGAGACGTGACCCCAACTTTCTTGAATAAAAGATACAAGGATTTAGGACTGATAATTTTTTGTCAACATTTGGATGGTTGATAAAGAAAATTAGATGACACTCGAAGGACATTTTTTGTCTTTTTCAAATGTCATTTAATGGCTGGTTGATGGTAGGTACTGGATTGACACGTTTTGAAAGTTCAGGTATTGAATTGTCACGTTTAAAGTTCAGGGGACCAAAGTGGCAGTAGGCCTAAAGTACAAGATATTAATCGGGAATTTTCCCTTTATTTTATTAGTGTACGCAATATCTAAATCTGACTCATTTGTAATTGGAATCTAACTGATAAAATTTCATTCAAATCTGAATTTCAATGAATAGATCCAAGGTTCAATTCAATCTGATCTATTTCTAGCTCTAGACGTCATTCTCAATTCAGTTTGGGAAAAGTGCAAATACAAGATTTAGAAATACCGTATATAAGGTTTTGCACTGAATATATTTATATTTAAGCTGTATTTGGTTGCAGTGCAATTTTATTTGCACTAGTACAAATGCATGGGAGTGCAAATTTTAAAAATGCAAGTTCTTGTTTAATTTTGTTTTGGATTTTACTTTATTCTGGTTCATGTCTTAATTTACTTTACTACAATCAAACAAGATAAACTAAAATTTAAAACAAAAATAAGACAGAATTTACACTCAAATCATTTGCACTGCCAATGTTTTGCATCAGTGCAAATTTATTTGCATTGCAACCAAACACAGCCTTATACTCTTTTCAAACTGAGTCCAAAGTTCAAAATACCTTGATATGTATTGATAATTCGACGTTATATTTTTATTATCATTTTAGTTTTTTTTTTCAAAATTTGAGGGGATGGAAATATAATTATTTAACATTTAAAATGAAGACTTTAAAAAAGCCTAAAAAACAGTTTATTGATAACCTTGTGGCTGATATGTATCAGCCACAAGGTTTTTAAAACCAAACCAGACAATGAACTGGTCAGGGTCCGATCTCGGCTCGAACGGTCTGACAGTTTAAACCGAACGAATGGCCCATTTTGACAAAAAAAAAATAAAAATCTTAAAAAATAAAAATCAATCAAACTGTTGAACGGTTCGAACAATTCAACCGTCCAGGTCAGCGATTTGTTGACCAAATCAACAGTTTTGGAGAAATAATGGTTCTGAGGTAAACCAACTGACCAGTTCCTAGTTTTTCCGGTCTGGTCCAGTTTTGAAAACCATGATCAGCGTATACATTGTGAAATTTTGATCCTTGGTCATTCCTCACCAAATAATCCCATTTTCTAGGAAAAAAGAAAGCCACTGTCCAGACTACAAGCCTTAAGAAGCACTGGCTGCTGGAATTGCACTCTTTACTACCTCCACTGTCATTAATGGTTCTAGGAACGAGTAATTCTTTTATTCGCCAGGTCTCGTTGGGAATTTTTTTCTGGGTATTGTTCGGATTAAGGCTGAACTGAGTTGATGCTTGAATAGAGTTCAGTTTTCCTTTTGGATGTGGAATAAAGTCAAGATTAGGCTATTGCTTTGTGACAGTAATATAAGATATGCACCATCACTTCCCCTTCTACAAAATCACAAGAAACCACTGTTGAAATTCTGAATTTCTGTGGTTGAAATGGTGGAATTAGACTAATAAATTTGTAGCTTATATGGACGAAGAATTTCCAGGTGACTAATGTAGGGTGTGTATCGTCACATGGACAACTTGAGTTTAAAGGCTATTGAAGGAGCCAGATGGCTTAGAATTAGATGGCAAAGCTCGGGAGAGTTGAAAATCCAGACCCGGATCAGTCTGGTTTTCGTAACTAACTATTAACGAGTGATGGATCAGTCGGCTTTCCTATCGGCGTTCCCACCCAGAGAGATACAAAACTGAAAATGGGATCCATTTTTATGAAAATGACTGTGGAACAACAGGATTAATTATAAAATCTCATCTGTACAATTTTCTTATTCAACTACATGAAGCAGAAGTAATGGAAATGTTTTTGCGACATTGACTTGATCTTGCTGTCTAACAAGTTTTGGCCTGAATAGTTGTCATGGGAAAGAGAAAGTTGGGGTTTTAAAAAGGCTCCGTTTGGTTTGAAAAAAAATATGCAAAAGTGAATTAAACAGAAAATTGAGAGAAAATTGTTAAGGAAGTCTACAATCTGTTTAGGCTTTAGAGCTTTCGCTCAATTTTTCTTTTCTTTTTTTCTTTGTGTATTATTTTCTATCAAACCAGACACAACCTTTTAAATCACTAAACCCAATAAAAAATAATTCATATTGTTAATTACCTGATGTACTGGCAACTTACGTGCCACGTGCTTACTTCTGATTGGGTTTTGTAACCCGCTTTACAAAAATTTGTTTGTAGCATCCAAGCAGTAAATTACAAGTTTACTGGGTAGGGTATATCTTCAAGAAAATTGTTTCCTCATGAATCACTGATATAACAAATCACTGCTACATCATAACTCATAATAGTCGAGCAAAACAAAGCAGATGCATTAAGGTCCCGTTTGGTTCACGGGAATAGGGGTCTGGAATTGAAATCGGAATGGTCTATTTTGATTTTAACTGTTTGGTTGAGTGGAATTGGAATCTCATTCCCATTCTTGGTGGAATGGTATTCCCCCATTTGAGGGAATGGTCATTTCCTCCCCCTCCCTGAACGTAATTTCTGTCTAAACCAAACAAACTATGAGAATAGGCCATTCTAATTCCAACTGTGAACCAAATAGGCCCTAACTATTTCACCAACAATGCACAATGCATAATACTTAGGCAAAACAAATGCAAATGTAAAATTTTTACCAGTATACTTAAATCATGGTACACCAAGTATTCTAAATTTACAATGACACTCATAGGAGTTAGAATCTCCTGCCAACAAAACACGTTCCAACACCCTTTTAACATGATGACACTTCACATCTCACCATGATACTGGGACCTGCCATGTATATATAAGATGCATGGTGTCAAATAACATTGGAAGGGTGTTGAAATGTATTTTATTGGCAGGAGATCCAGATTCTACTCCTAGGGAGTGATGTGAACCCCTAAGCTTCACCGCATATAAGATTACAAAACACAACTCAAAAGTCAGCTATTCCACTTGGAGTGTGCAGGGCTAAAACCATGAATCACAGCTCTTGATGTGGCCCCACCTTGAATTGGATGAAGTGACATAAAGTGAGACTACAAAAATGCATCAATTTCATGATTTTAGGTCAATGCTAGTCCAAGTAGAATTGATGATTTCTTCAAATCTAGATTTACTCCTCACAATGTGTGTCTCACACCAGCCTCACAATGCATTGAGAACATCTTTTGTACTTGATTTTGTCCTTTACGCCAAGATGTTTCCAATGCAGGACTGCACTATGCTATGAAGTTGGTTGAGGCATGCTTTGTGAGGAGCAAATCTGTCGGTTTCTTCTCCAAACACACTATGTAAAAATGGACCATGTGGGCCCTCCTAAATCCATAGAGTAAAATTGGTATTAGAGATTGATACATGGAATTGGTTTTTGAGGCCGATGAGAGA